CCGGCGGCGCTCTTCCTCCTGTCTGAGGTTTTCATTGTTGTGAGAATTTCTGTTGAGGATTGGCAGTGGGGGTGGGTTGGGGGGGGTGTTTGGTTTTTATTCCCCCCGTCTGCTGGGTGGTTGCAGCAGGTTTTGGTCACTTCACATGACCCTGGGACACTGTGACCATCATAAATATGAATTGGTTGCCAAGCATCTGAATGTAAATCACAAGATCTTGGAGATGCTGCAACATTCCAGCTGATTGGCGCTTCTTGGCTGAGCAGAAGCGCCAGGATCAGTGCTGCTTTCCAGCTGATTGGTGCTTCTTCAGGGCTCAGCAGAAGCACCAGGATCAGCGTTGAGCTCCAGCTGGAGCCTGGCTCTGATCCTGGTGCTTCCACTGAGCCCTGACAGCCCCGAAGAAGCGCCGATCAGCTGGAAAGCGGCACTGATCCTGACGCTTCCGCTGAGCCCTGAGAACCCTGCAGCTCCAGCCGTCTCTCTCTCAGGCTTGTGCGATGCTGCCACCGGTTCAGCTCGTTCCCCTCCCCTGCTACCACTTTTCTAGGATGATTGCGTACCACCTGCCAGGTGCCATTGTACCATAGGTGGTACCCCTACCACTGGTTGAAAAGCCCTGTTTTAAAGGATAATGGGAATTGTCATAATTCCCCCTTTCCCAATGGATGCTCCTGTTAAATGTAGCATTATTTTAGTCTAAAAGGTTTCTGGATGCCTTAAATATTAGCCTCTACATACTGGGGCTGACTTTGGTTCAGTCACTCTCTCTTAGCCCAACCTACTTCACAGGATTGTTGTTGTGGGAAAATACGAAACAGGTTAGGGTTAGGGAATATTAGATATGTTTGCTGCCTTGAGTTGTTTATTAAAAAGTAATAAAGATGGGATACAAATAAATAAAATAAAAATATGTACAAATGAAGGTAAATATTGGTCAGCACTTAAAAATGTGATTGCATTTCGTGAGTGAATCATGGGTTAGGATGTAAGAGTTTTATGTTAGGATATAACAAGTATTATTTTCTTCAATGTAATGTAGTAGAAATGTAATTAGAGACAGGATAACAACATTAAACATTTTGTTACTATAGCTCTGCACACTATACTATTGCATTTGGAAAAACAAGTTTAAAAGAGGTGTGGTTGTATCACACTAATTTAGAACGTCTGCACATTGCATATTCATAAATGGCCACTCTTACAAGTTTGTACTTCAAAATGTATAAAGGGTGTAACTCAATTGAGTCACGGAGAATTTGGAACAAGCTGTTACTGAACAGAAAAATAATGTTTTTGTAGAAGAGATTCTTCCTTTTATAAAGATTTTATCTGAAAATAATCTAGTATAAAATATGGAAGAATTGCTGGAATGGATTTTCTGGATCTTAAAAACTTAAAAGTGTGGAAGTTTTAAAATTGTTTAGATTCTGATCCACAAAGCTTATTTCCAAACACATTTGTTTTATAGCATTAATGCTTCAACAATAAATGTGTTGCTATCCTATTTTCACTTTTGTTGTATTGGAACCCATAATGATTTAATTTAATGTTTCTATCACATTGCTATACTGTACAATGTTGAAATATAGAGTGTTGTGCCTTATTTTATGTTGAAACCCCAAACTAATTTGCCCATCTGGGAGAGCTAGTATTTAAGAACAAAACTAATTTTATGAAGGATAATTCATCATTAATATTCTCATAGTTTCAAATGAGGAATAGATGAAGATCCAGAAAACAAGTCAGTGATTCACTCTTATGTGAGATAACAGAATCATAGGGATTTTTAACCTCCTCTGTTATTATAAGAACAATTGCAGATGTTTTCATGAAGTGAATTTTTCTTCTTCTTTGTGCTTGGGAATTAAGAACTTAAGAGAATTAAAACAGTGATGAGCATATGATGTTGTTGTTGACAATAGGTGACAAAAAAATTAAAGGTCCTTTTGTAAGCATTTTTTTAGAAACGAACTCTATCACATTTGGTAGATTTTATAATGTCTTACAAAAAAATTATTTTTCCCACTTTAGAAATGTCTACAAAAATATTCTCAGTTTTCTGTATTTCTGCTTAAAAAGAGAAGAGGTTATTTGTTCCTACTCAGAGCAGGCATCTTCAAAATTATAGTAGAAAACACACCTAATTCACAAGGGACACTCTGTTGTTTGCCTTCACTTCTGGAGTTGCTGATCAAGTCAGCTCAGATTTTAAAAAAGGATTAGAAGCTGTAAAGTGAGAATGGTTGCCTCTCTTTTCTTCTCTTGATGACTTGAAAGGATCAGAAGGGTTGCTGAAGTGATATGATGCATTGAATAGGAAAATAGGAAATAAAAAGTAAAAATAAATGTTCTACTACAACTTCTAGACCTATTGCCTCTCATTCTTGGGTAATGTATAACCTGTTAAACAGGCTTTTTTCCTCCTGTATTATTGTCCCTCATAGTATATGCATTAATCTGTTTTCAGTTAGACTTCATTACCGAAGCACAATAAAATTATATAGATCAATTTAGTTGAAGAATTTTCAAGTTAATGTGAAATATATTTCAGGATAAAAATATAAGAGGGAAAGAGAATCATAATATGTCAGTTAACATTGTATTATGTGGACTTCAGCAACCAAATATTAACATCCTGTTGGTACTGCCCAGAAATTTTTGAAATAACGCTTCATAGATATTTTGCAAAAACTATGTGCAATTTATTGCTTTAATAGTAACCAGAGAAACTAAATATTAGCTGTTTTATTGTATATACTTTTCTAGGGTTGCCTTTTGTTTTTTATTTTTATTTTTTGCTAAAGCTCAGCATGCAGTTGATCAAAATAAAGCTATACAGATTAAAACAATAGAACAGTGATGGTGAACCTTTTAGAGACCAAGTGCCCAAACTGCAACCCAAAACCCACTTATTTATCGCCAGGTGCCAGGTGGGCGTGGCCCACTGGATGGGCATGGCTGTGGTGGTCATGGCAGATTGGTTGGGTGTGGCCAAGGTGGGCGTGATCACCTCAATGTTGCTTGTGGGGAGGGACGCCTGTGGGAGCCGGACAGGGTTGGGGGAGATCCAGGGGGTCTCTGGCAGGTGGGGCGGTGGGAAGAAGGCTCGTCCTGCAGGGAGAGGCGAGGCAAGGTGAGGCAGGGCGGGGGTGCCATTGTCACAGGGCAAGGTGAGGCAGGGGCCGGGACGGCTGCTGCCTGACACCATCGGCCCCTGCACACAGAGGCCAGCGAGTGCATGGGTGCTGGGATACATCCAGCCATGTGGGACTTCAGCGAGTTAGCGGGCGGCTGGTTGAAGAGGGACGGTTGCCATCTCTGGGGCATGGCGCGCGTGCCCACAGAGAGGGCTCTGAGTGCCACCTCTGGCATGCGTGCCATAGGTTCGCCACCACTGCAATAGAAGATAAAATAGATCATATTACTTTCATATAGAATTACTTTCTCTAGTTACCAGTCCCTGGAAGGGTTAAATGAGTAATCATATAAAGGATTCTGGTTTTTAGTTAGTAATTTTATTGAAGTTTTTAATAAACATAGTTAAAATTAATGCAAACTAAGCTAGAAGATAAAAAAGCTCAGGAAGTGCAGAAAAAGAAAAAAAAGAGAAAACAAAAAGAAAAAGGCAACAAAGACAATAATAAAAAGTGGTTTTCAACCTTCATCACACCAACATAAGTTAATATAGTAACTTTTCTACCTATTTTAATGTTACAACTTAAAAAAATCCTATCCTCATAGCCAAACTTTATCTAAACACAATCCAGAAATCATTCTTTCAATCATAGTTCATCAAAAAGTCTTTTTAAGAGTTACTAGAAATATCAAACATGCTTTATCTGTGGTCAAATAATTGAACTATACATTCCTCCTTTTTATTCATAATCTTGACCTATATATCTAGGCTGCTGGAAATAACTGATTTGGAGAATCAGAATTTGCCTGTATGTGATGATTCTCGTTGTCCTAAATTGGTTTCTGGATTTTGGACTATATCTCAAATATAGTAAAATAATATATTTTACCAATATATATTTATCCCAGGTAAAACAAAAGAAAAGAAATAAAAAACCTAAAGTATATGCCTGCATAAATATTTATCTATTCATTTCAGGGATAATATAATAAAGGACAAAATGAATGAGTTCAGCTAGCATACTAAATTGTGGTTGACTTAAGCAGGTTTATATTAAATTGGATTAGCCATCAAACATGAAGACTGAGTTCTCACAACAGTAAAGCATAACCAGTCAAACCCATACTACAGCTTCATACAGTATATATCAACTTAGTGCAGAGTTAGTACTAAAAGCAGCACTTCTGCCCATATTTCTGTATTTTGGTGCATAGAAACTATTGTCAGTATCCAAATGCCAATATCCTGAAATAACTGATAAATTGGTAAACAACTGAATGTTTTCTTGTAGACATGTAACAATCCCTATAGCTCTCCTTTCCGTAATTGGTTTCAGTCAGTCAATGAAGAAGGAAAATTTTACCATTTTTCTGAAAATCTGCTCATTTGCAATAATGACTATAAGTAGTCCTCAAGCCCAAAATTTTCATTGCTAAGCAAGGAGTTGTTAAGTGAAATTTGCCCTATTTTAATGACCTTTCTTGTCATAGTTGTTAAGTGAATGACTGCAATTGTTTAGTTAGAAATACAGTTATTAAGTGAATATGGCTTCCCCATTGACTTTGCTTTTCAGAAGGTCACAAAAGGTGATCACATGACCCTGGGACATTCATAAACACATGCCAGTTGCCAGGCATCTCAATTTTGTTCACATGACCACAGGAATGCTACAACAGTCCTAAGTGTGAAAAAGAGTCATAACTTATTTTTTAAAATGCTGTTGTAATTTTGAATGGTCATTAAAAGTGGTTTTAAGTCGAGGACTATCATAAACAATGTTTTTGAATAATTCTCTATCGAATGATCTATATTTTTGTATAATGTGTAAATTATATTTTTGTTCTGTTTTTCATTTTTTAAGCCAAGGTCCCTTGTCATCTATTAAAGCAGCAATCAAGAGAAGTAAGTAGATTTTTGGTCTATTATATCCACCTGATGAATGCCTAAGAGATGAACATTTAACATTTTCATTAAACAGACTGCAGGTGCTTTTAATGTTATTTGTAAGTTGATTAACCATTGCAGATATATTGTGTTTCTTCCCTGATCTGTCTGTCATATATAATTCAATTTTTAGGATTGACTATCATCATTATACATGACCTAATTCTTTAGTTTAACAGATACATTTGTTTCTTTTTGAGTTCTTTTAAATGGAATTCATGATAATTTATTAAAATTATGTAAGTTGCATGCAACATATTTTGATAAAAATAAATGAGTTAAATTATTCAGATCAGTTGTTGCCCTTCCCACTGAACAAACTTGTTTAAAGAAAAAAGTGTTGATAAGGTAGAGTACTTTATATGTATTTCTTTGCTTATATTTCATTCTCATTTTTAGTATAAAAACCTGAACTGGATTGCAGTGCTTGTTATTTAGTCATTTTATGAAACAAGAAGATGCTTGAACTTGTATTTCTCATTTCTTTTCTCCAGCAAGTTTGGGAGAAAAATATCAGAAATTCTGTTTTATATTATCTGCACTTTATACTGTATTTCCCCCAAAGTAAAGCCTACCCCGAAAATAAGCCCTAGCTTGATTTTTGAGGGTAGACCTAATATAAGCCCTACCCCCAAAATAAGCCCTAGTTTTGGGGCGAGGCACACAATTAAAAATCAAACTAGGGCGGAGATAGGGGGGTGAATCTGCCCCATGGCCCCCACACCCACTTACCTTGCAGCCAGGCCTCTCCTCGCTGGCCCACTTCTTCTGTGGCATCTTCTGCAGCCAGGCCTGCATTTCTCAGTCACAGACCTTTCCAGAAGGCCTGTGCAGCCAAGAACCGAGCTAGGAATTCAATCCATAGCTCGGTTCTGGAAGACCTCTGCAGCCTAGGTACTCGGCTGCATAGGCCTTCCAGAAAGGCCTGACTGCAAAATACAGGCCAAAATGCAGCTGCAGAATGAAGCTGCTCCTTCAGCTCCAGAAGAAGTGGACTTGCTAGGTGGGGCTGTCGGTGCCATAGGAGAGTAAGACATCCCCCCAAAATAAGACTTGGTGCCTCTTTTGGAGGCAAAAAAAAAGACCCTGTCATATTCAGGGAAACACGGTAGTGTTTGATTTATATTCTCTAAATAATCTGAACAATAGTAATAGCACTTAGACGTATATACTACTTCACATTGCTTTACAGCCCTCTCTAAGCAGTTTACGGAGTCAGCATATTGCCCCCAACAATCTGGGTCCTCATTTTACCGACCTCAGAAGGATGGAAGGCTGAGTCAACTTTGAGTCAGTGAGAAGCGAATTGCCAAACTGCAGGCAGCGGCAGTCATCAGAAGTAGCCTGCAGTACTGCCTTCTGACCATTGCACCCCCATGGCTCAATAATTGGTTGAACATGTCAGTATCATAAATTAAAATATGAAATTGGCTATCATTTCTTTGAATTTGGATGATGAGGAAATTTATAGTTAACAAACTTTTTCAAAAATTCTCTTTGTAAAGGAAGAAAAAATGATTGTTGTAAAACTTGCTATGGCTTGTAATTGTAATGCTAAATTATGGTTTATTGTTAATTCTGAACCAGAATTAAAAGCAAGCTTATAGAAGAAGTACTAATCCAGAATCTAGAGGAAAAGAATCTGGTTCTTGCTTCTTCTGTCTAATAAATGACAAACTAATACTCTATTTCTTTTTTAGGTGAACTTGAAACTATGTCATTATATTTAGTGATTGTAAATTATACTTTGATACAGCACAGGGGGATATTATTAGCATTTGTTTGATCTTAGAGTTATTTGAATAGCTGAAAGATTTGTTTATTTTTGGCGGTTTTATGTCATAGCAATCAGTACAAATCTAAGCAGCTTACAATATCAACAGCTTATATTATCAGCAAATGAATAAATATAAGTTTATAAAGCAACAGCTTATATAATAGCAACAGCAAATACATAAATATTAATTGATAATCATAACAATAATAAAAATTCCATATTATAATCAAGAAGTATACCTTATTAATAGTGCCACCATTGTTCACCACAGGCACAATTGTCCCTTACCCCAGGATTGTGAAGATCCAGGCACAAATTCTATATATTATGATATAGTGTTCTACTCCACTAGACCCCAAACTTTTGGATGCCAGGGACTGGTTCCATAGAGGGCGGTTTCTCAATGGACCAGAGTGTGTGTGTGGTTTCACATGTTGCCTGGTTGGAGACCCTTGTTATGATTCCGTGCCAGCCTGTGATCCCAGTAGTTGAGTCTGGGGAATCAGAAGGAGGAGGAGGAGGAGGAGGGGCCTGGAAAGCCATCAGAGTCGGAGGGAGGTTCTGATGAGCTGTAGGATTTACAAACTAATGAAGAGACTGGTCCTTCCACTCGTGATCAAGCTGAGAGCCAGCTGTGCTGGGAAGTTGAATTGGATTCAGAGGAAGCACAGCTGGAAGACCTCAGAGACGCTCATAAACGTAGATAGGCCACATGAGTAGGACAGAGGGAGGCAATGGGGCGATTCCAGGGAAGGAGGAGAAAGCAGTGAGAAGCCACGCCTTGGGGGCTGCGTAACAAAAAAGGGAATGTGTGGGCAGGGCTGGTTGCTGGAGGCAACCATTTGCAAAGAACTTCGGTGTCAAGAGATCTGGTCTGTTTATTTTGCCTGTGAGTTATTTCCTGTTTGACTTGTGCTCCGTTTTGCTCCGTTGGAAAAGTGTTCTGTTGGTTTTGTTTTTCTGGGACAATTATCAGGTCTGTAACTCAAATAAAAAGGGTTTATTTTCCAGTCTACTGTTAAAAGAGGGGTTGTCTTTGTGAAGTAACAAGGATGTACGTGGCTGGGACAGAATAACCCCGTTCTACTCAACAGAGCCCTGCAGAAAATGCCTGCTTCTGAGTGTCTTCCAGTTATATTTCATATGGGTTGGACCTCTCAGCAAATGATCTCTGCACAAATGCTTTGGTTCGATGGATTGGTTCTATCATCCAACAGATAACCAGGATTCCTGCCATGAGGAGCTTAAAAGTGATAAGTAGCACCTTGAACTGTAACCAGAAACAGAATGGCATCCAGTATATCTCCTACAATAATTGGTGCTTTAGAACTATGCTTATAATCTCTTTAGCGTGTGCATAGCCACAATTTGCACTAGTTGTAGTTTCGGGATGCTCTTCAAGGGCAGTCCCATGTAGAATGTATAATAGTATTCCAACAGTGAAATGATGGCATGAGCGACTGTTGCCTGTACTTCTGGCTCCAGACAGAGTAGCACCTGACAGGATAGCTGCAGCTAGATAAAGGCTACCCTGAGTACAGGTTTCATCGGTATTCCAACAGCAGCTGAGAGTCCTGGAGGACCCACAAATTATGCACTAGCTCTTTCTAAGGGAGCACAACCACATATCTATCCCAAGCCACTTGAATGATGTGACATGCTGATCTGGTATCTGAAAACTATTAAGGATTAGGATCTTAGCAACATGGAATGGTTGATGGCTCAGAAGTCACTGATTCTCTGACAAGGCCAACTTTCATACTATTATTTGCATTGTAACAATGGAAAAATATACTATATGAAGAAGTATGACTATATTAATTCAAGCTTAATGATAAATTATAATGTTCTAGATAATATAAATACGTGGCAGACTAAATTGAGTCTGATAAACTAATATTGTTTCACTTCCTTTTCATCCCTTTACCCTTAAGCATTTTTGTCAAATTCTCATATTTTTTTACTTCAAATAACATTACTGCTTGTATGGAATTGTCATATATATAAATACAATTTTACTAAGCTACTTTCCATGTTTCCTGTAACCATTTTCCAATTTTCCAATCAAAGTAACTTTTCCCAGCTTTTTGAGAGTTCTAAAGAAAAGAACCAAAGTTTCCCAAGATTAGAGTTTTTTTCAGAAGATATTTTTAGGACAACTATTAATGACATTAATAGTTGTCCTAAAAATGTTTGTCTCTATTAATTAAGTTTGTCTCTTTTTCAAGTTTTCCCTTAATTGGAATAATATTTCAGCAAAAACAATTACATACATTGGAAGTGTAAAACTCTTTTCTAGAGTGCACAGAAGTTTGTGATTTTGTTATCAGTGATAGCACTGTAAGTTTTCCCATCTCTTTCCCCTTTTTATACATTTGTCCTGTTTAGTCCCATTGAACACACTGATTGTGTGAGCATGTGTACAGATGAACATTTGTGCACATATTGAAATTGGTTGTATCCCTCTCTGTATATTTGTTTCTTTTTGTTTAGAATAGAAGGAATGTTTTCCTTTATAGGTAATTTATCTATAAACAAGCATTTTCTTGTTTGCTCACTTTATCTCTATACACAAATTTACACAATTATTTCCACTGAAATCTTTAATAACGACAACATTTCATGAGATGATCTCAAATATTATTACCTCTTCCCAGAATGTAGTAGTTCAGACAGTATGTGACATACTGGTGAGTGCTTATGCAGCAATTTTACTGAAAGTTGTTATATATAAGTATGTACAACTTACATGCACACAAGCATGCATACAGGGATATTTTATTTATTATTTACTAAATTTTTATGCCGCCTATCTCCCCTACAAAATGACTCTGTGCCACTCTGGAATATTATGAATAGCTGGTAGCTTTTACAAAAGGATGCACACAATTACTGTATACATGCTTACAATAGTTTTGTTTGGAAAAGTGAATAGAGAAGGTTGATGGGGGAAAAGTACAGTCTCTGGTTTAGGAAGTTTTGTTCCCTAATTGTCTTTAACCTGAATTTGTCTTTAGGTTGGACTGCGTATTACTGCAAATGAACTGCCTATTACTAAAACTGACAGATTGAATTCCTTCTCTGAGCTGATGAAGTACTGAAGCTGTGCAGTGTTTTCTGGAACTGTTGAAAACATGCTGTACCATGTTTCCCCGAGAATAAGACCTATCTTGAAAACAAATCCGAGCTTGATTTTTACGCGTACATCTAATATAAGCCCTACCTTCAAAATAAGCCCTAGTTAAGACCCTGTGCAGCTGGCTGCCCACCCATTCCGTCTGGTTGTTCATGGTGCTGCTGCCACGAGGTGAGGTGGGGGAGGACTGGAGCTGCCCCATACGCCCTGCAGGGCCCTCACAGCCAGATGTCCCACTCCCCGACACCTACCTCACCTCACTGCGGTGGCACTAGCAACCCCATCCAGCAGGAGCCCACCTGGCCTCCATCAGCCCACTCCTTCTGTGGCCATTTGCTGCCGTTTCCGTGTGTTGCCCCCGGCCTCCGTTTCACTGGCAGAAGCCTTCAGGAAAGGCCTCTGCAGCCAAGAATGGAGCCCTGGGGTGACAGACATGTCGCCCCCTCCTGGCCTCCATTCTTGGCTGCAGAGGCCTTTCCTCAAAGACTCTGCCGGCAAAACAGGCTGTGGACAACATGCACATCAGCCCCTGGCTCCATTCTCAGCTTCAGGAAAGGCCTCTGCCCGTGAAATGGAGGCTGGGGTGACTTGTGTGAGTAGCAGTGAACTGCCACAGAAGAAGTGGGCCAGCGGTAGCCATGCGGACTCCTGCTGGATGGGGCTGTTGGTGCTGCTGACGCAAGGCGAGACTAAAAGAAATAAGATCCCCTGAAAATAAGACTTAATACTCTTTTGGAGGCAAATAAAATATAAGACCGGGTCTTATTTTCAGGGAAACTCAGTATATTAAAATAGTGTGGCTTCGGGGATATCTGAAATCATTACACAGCTTCAGAGCTCTATCAACTCAAGGAGAAAAGTTTTAGTAATAGGCAGCCCATTTGTATCTAGGAGTTGCCTTTAAGTTGGACACTGTTTGTATGTATGTAAAAGAAATGGTTTGGCATTTATTAGGTTTCAGTAAGTATAATTCCATGTCCCTGAGGGAAAATGTATCATCAGATTAGATAAATTACACTAAGAGATATTGAGGGACTTAATGTCTCTAAGGCTGAACAAAATCTGAAGTTGAGTCTCCCTACACCTAGCATAACAATCTAATGCTTATCTCACTGCTAGAAAGCCTTTTAAACTGAAGAAATAGCAATTTCAGTTGAGACCAAATGACTAAAATGGAAAAGAATTTGTTTACAAGCAGAAATTATATTTACTGTATATGCCGGCGTATAAGACGACTTCCGAAAGCGCTAAACTCGGCGCCAAAGACGGGGGTCGTCTTATACGCCAAGTCGTCTTATACGCCGGAAATACTGGTAGTTTCCGGCGATTAAGACGACGTTCTAGGACTGCGGCTTGGCGATAAAGACGGGGGTCGTCTTATACGCCGGGTCGCCTAATACGCCGGCATATACGGTATTTATGCATGGATCTTGACTGAAAGTTTTCTCAGTAAAGTTTGATTATGTGCAGATTTATATGAAGCATAATGAGCCTTTATCTTTTAAAAATAGTGATAGATTATGATAAAAACAAGAGAGAGATTCTGTTTCTCAAAAATAAATCTGTTTATCTGAATGTCCAAAACCCCAGAGGGACAACATAACCTCACCTGGCCTCTAGGCAACACACCTATAAGTACTCAAGGGCTAGTAATCAGTTTACTATACCATTCTTCCCCTATTTTACTACAAGTTCTGTTCCTTCATGACTTTTCTTTGTAAGTCCTCCTTCCGAAGAACAGTAACTCTTATATTTGCCTTAGGCTGCTTCAGGCTATTTTAGTTTCCCAAATGAGGACAAACCACCTTCTGTCTCACCCTCACACCAAAACCACCATACCCAGCTATCTGTCTGCTCAGCTTTTATAGCCACACATTGCTGGGCTATAGGTGCTGGTATTTTGCAGGTAGCCTGTCCTCCGACACTGAAGGAGAGTATAAAAGGAATATGCATTGTTCCCAGAAAAAGTCAGCAATAAGGAAACATGAACATCTGTTGCAAAACTGATGTTTACTAAGAGAAAACAACATTTTGTCATTGTAGAACAGTGAAATTTTTAATAATACTACTAACTCCTATTAATATACTTACAACAGTTCATTTAGTGACTGTTCAAAGTTACAACATCATTGAAAAAAGTGACGTGACTGTTTTTCACACTTACAACCATTGCAGCATCCTTGTGGTCACGTGATCAAAATTCAGATATTTGGCAGCTAACTCATATTTATGATGGTTGCAGTGTCCAGGATCACGTGATACCCTTTTGCAACCATCTGACAAGCAATAGGAAAGCCAGTTTCACTTAACAGTCATGTTACAAATTTACCAACTGCAGTGATTCATTTAACAATATTGCAAGAAAAGTTGTAAAATGGAGCAAAACTCACTTAACAAATGTTTCACTTAGCAACAGAAATTTTGGGCTCAATTGTGGTCATAAGTTGAGGACTACCTGTACATGAGTGTTGAATAGCCAGGAAAAAAATGTACCAACAACTTCAAAATAAATTGTTTAAATCTGCTGTTTAAATAGATACAGTACAAAGCTGCTGGTTATTTTTTTAAGCCAAATTTGAATTTTAAAACTGGCATTCAAACATTGCCAGAGTTCATTTTGTGAGGGAAATAATACTATGATACCCTTATCTGACTAACAAAGACAGTCTAATGCATCTTTACTATTCACCTGGTTTGTTCTTTTTTCTCTTTCTTTATCTTCTTCTGTAACCCTTCTTTTTCTTCTTTAGCACTCATGAATAGTGCACCTCAAATATGCCCCGTAGAAGAGGTATGTCTTTTCTCACTTCCCCACCTGGTGCTTTGCTGCTATGAATTTGAAATGGTGTAATTAGAATAATTTGCTGCTGCATAATCAGACAAGATATTCTGCTAAATCATGTTATCTGGAGACTATTCTTTTTAGTTTGTTATTTTAATTATATATGATAAATGCAAATGATTTCATTCAAATAAAATTTCAGTTATTTTAATAAGATACATAATGAGAAAATCTATAGTTAAGTCATTTTACATAATGAAATGTGTTCTAATATAACTACCTAACATAAGCATTATTTTTTTATTAGTAGTAATATTGCATGAATCTTACTGAGGTTATGGTTGGAATGATGGTGTCACTTACTGGAAATGCCAGTCCACTTTTCCCTTCTCATTTGAAAGCACAGACCCTGAAATGGGGGTCTCGGGAAAGTAGGACAAATTGACAGAATCCGTCACATAATTTTTTGGGTTCATATAGCGTGCTAAGTCATTTAACCATGGTTGTTGAAAATTCACTTCAACTCATTTGTAGTAATAATGAATATATATGATGATGGATCACTAAGTAATTTCTGATTTATAAACCTGAAGTGGTTCACTTAATAATGCTAAGCCAAAGTTCTTATGGTTTAATTGATTGTGTGGATGTTTTGCGTACTTTTTGCCTTTGTACTAAAATGAAGTTTGATCAGGTATATGTGAATGTTAAATCAAGCATATATACTTACTTTTTAATATTGTGGGACTAATCTTGAATTCTCTATATATTGTCTCATGAACTATAAGGCATGTCTAATGAAACTTCCTTAATCTCAGAGCCATAAGAAGATGCTGATCAAATGCTGGACTCAAAAACACTTTAATCATGTGTTTTGTATTAAATAATTTAATTAATTATTCTTTTGATAATCACCTATAGATAATAATAATTTCTGAAGAATTTTTGGAAATACAAATTTAAATATTATGTTAGCAGTGGTAAAAAATGAATTGTTTATCTTTTTTTAAAATTAGCTTCTCGGACAACGTATCACAGTGAACAGCAAAGAGAAAGAAGGTATGGTAATAATCACTCCTCCATTTATAATTATTCTAGTCATAAAATAAGTGTAAGAGATGACTTATGACATATAAATGAAATGTTGATATTGGGTATCTAAATGTGGCATCGGTTATCTTTTATTACATATTTTGCATAGATTTAAATACATTTTCTTTGGAAATTGTATTTTAAAATTGATCCTGTCTCCTGTGGCATATTCATTGGACTGCATTAACTGAAAAAGAGATTTGGGATGGGAAGAACTCATATAATTTCAAGTACTTTGTTCTTTTATTTATTTAATTTCTATTCTTTCTGGCTAATTCTTCAACAATCAGATGACATCTAGTGATTAAAAGCATAATATAACCTAAACTAAAAATACAGTTAAAATGAATATTGATATTAAAAATGTATAATAAATTAACAATTATAGCCTTGATGGAAGACAAGTGACTTTATCATTTTCCAAAATATTGGGAAAAATAGCTGGGGTGAAAGGATTTGTTATGTGCATGAATGCTGTTATCATAAAGTGATAAATCAAGTCTGTTGAGATTGGACATACAGGATACTATCAATTTTTGTGGGCTCTACAATATTTTATGTCTTAAATACCCAAAATTATATTGGCTGATTATTTAGATCAGGAATGCCCAACCTGCAGCTCATGAGCCATAAATAGACATGGACATCTACTAATACAGTTCCACAAGGTAATAAAAATATAGAAAAATAAATGAAGTTTGTGATTCATATACATTAACTATATTACATATTTTATATGCAGCCCAAGATAATTCTTTATTGTGGTGCAGGCAAACAAAAAGGTTGGATAACCATGGTTAAAGTAAATCTGTGTGCATATTTCAAAACTTCAAAAATTGAATTCTTGCCAATTGTAAGAATGTTGGAGATTTGATTGGCCTCTTAGATATAGGCAACAGAAACATAAGGTGGTAAATGGACTTATCTATGGACACCGATGTATTGAAGAATGAAAAAAGGTGTTTCCCAGCAATTGAATTAGAAAAACCCAATCACTTTCCAAATATTGTGTAACCATAAATTACTGAATTTGGTTTTATTCTTTTTTCCCCATCTAGACGCCCTGAAATCACAATAGTTGCAGCTGAGCCACTTGGACCATCCTCCTGGTTTCCAGGTGGAAACCGTGTCCCTCAGCAAGGGCTACTGTTCCAGTCAACTCATAGCCAGACACCTTGGAGAGCCAGTGAACTTGTTCCAGCAGAGGTGAGGAAGCACAGGATTTCCTCCTTGGTTCAAGTTGATGTTTGTTTGAGCATTATAATATAGTGAAATAACTGTAGTATCAGAATTCATTGTTAACTGCATTTAGGACACGGACAGTGAGTTCAGGGGAAGAAATGGCGAACTGAAGAGGCAAAAAATAGAACTGATGATCACAACATAATAAAAAGCCAGAAGGTAGACTTCCTTTTGAAATTCCTCTCTGAAAAAGGAAAGGATTTGAGATTGCCCATAAATTCTTCAGACAATTGCTTCTCATGAGGCAACTATAAGCCTGCAGTCTCTTGCAGTTTGGAGGTCTGGGAAACAAGGGAATACAGGTAGTTCTTGATTTAGAATAATTCATTTAGTAATTGTTCAAAGTTACAACAGCACTGAAAAAAGTGACTTCTGGCCGTTTTCACACTTATGGCCATTGTAGCATCACGCTGGTCACATGATCAAAATTCAGATGTTTGGCAACTGCTTCATATTTATGATGGTTGCAATGTTCTGGGGTCATGTGATCAACTTTTGCAACCTTCTGACAAGCAAGGGCAATAAGAAAGCAAGATTCATTTAACAGCTGTGTACTAATTTAACAACTGCAGTGATTCACTTAACAACTGTGGGCAAGAATGGTTGTAAAATGGGGCAAAATTCAAAACATGTAACAACATAAATTTTGGACTAAATTATGGCCATAACCACAGTTGGTGCCTTCAAAAGAAACTAAGTTCACATACTTCTTTTATTAATCAGTTTTGGAAATTGCTTGTTAACTGCTTTTCAGTTATTAGGAACTGACAAATTGTACAGTGAGTATCAACCCTCATGGATAAATCAAACAGGAAACATGAATAGATAAGCTAACTCTGCTTTGCAAGGCTACATTAATAGAATCTGAAAGTACAAAACTTGTATCCTTCACTTTTAACTGCTTCCTCCATTAGGGTGGATCCTTCCTTAGTTTCCTCTGAGCGTAAAATGACTTGGGCTTTTATTTGATTGGTTCCTAAGCAGCATCTCTTCTCTTTCTTCGAGGTCACCCATTTGTTCCATTACACTGAGTTTCCATCAATCCTTAGCAAAATAAGTTTTAAATACAAGTTTATGGCCTTAATTTTTTTCTGGAATAAACAGCATAAGAGTGAAACTTTTATGGAAAAAGTAAAACTTTGATTTTAGAAGATTACAAAGGGATCAAGGGTCCAGATAAATTTGAAATAAGATTTTGGAATTAATTGTAAGAGTCCTCATGGGAAAATGCTTTGGTTTTGAATTGTTTTTTTATATATAATGATACAATAGCACTTTGATGCTTGGACATTAAAGGGAACCAAAAGGAACTAAAGATTACCATTAAAGGAGAAGAATGCTTAAATTTGACTTACTAAAACAGGATGCAGTAAAATATTTTAATATTGGACATATTAAAGGTACTTTTTTGAACAATAGACCCAGAAGTTAATTTTAAGAGTATCTGACTCTACAGATAGACTGTATTTAAAAGATGTTAAGGAAGAGGAACAAGTTTTACCAGATAAGACTGAGGCCGATATGAAGATGAATTTGAAGATCTAAATGACAAAATGATATGAAAAAAGATTTTACTCTGGACATACAAAAGAAATCAGTGGATGCTTTAATAATTAATAGCGATACATACATAACAAACAAAGAGAGTGACCTGGAGAATTTTCTTATATTGTATTTACAAAAGATGCTTCTTAAGGCTTTGAAGAATTTCAGGAGAAAAAAAATGAAGAAAAAAGAAATAAAGTTTTAGAGCATGATTTGAAGGGACTAAAGATCAAGATTGTTAAAAGTAAAAGGAAGGAATATGAATTTGGTTTATGTAATCATGATTAAAGTAGCTATGTTATAGCTGGTAACTCTTAATGAACATTAGCTGATCAGGACTGAAATGGTGAGGTTTTAAGGGTTTGTTTTTAGATAATAGATGGGATATGGGAATAACAAATATAATTTAAAAGAAGATAATAAGTTAACTAAAATTGTTTATGTTTGTGATAAAGGGAGATGTCATTTCTTTATATATTCCTTTTTTGTTTGTCATATTCTTATTTTTTCTATTTGTATTTCCTTTTTCTGTTTTGAACCTTCTATTTTTTCTTTTTCTTTTATTTTTTAGTTTGTATTAGTTTTTTTATCATAGCTGGAATTTTTAATAAAATTACTATTAAAAAAGAATTTAGAACATGGACTAGGATTTCATACATTTATAAATGCTGAATTGTTAACACGAATAGTGTGGTGTACATTTGGTATTTTTATTTTTCAGCCACCTTCATATGAGCAGGTAATCAAAGAGATCAACCAAGTGCCAATCATCCCAGCCAGCAATAATAATGCTACCTGTGCTGCTAATTCTAGATGTACTACTACATCTTCAACACAGACTGACTTTCCAGAAGAGATAATCAGCAATTTGCCAGGAATAAATGTGAAAAATAATCTGTCCATTCTTTCTGAATGCAAAAATATTCCAGGTACGTTCCTGTTAATTTTAGTTTGATGATGTTTAAAAGGATTGTATTGGATAGATTTTTTTTTATTTTGATAGCTATATTATGCAAAACATATGTTGTGGTTTCAGCTATTATTTATATGGCTTGACACAACTGAAATAAGATGGCATTGGTATATATAATAACATGTAATGTATGCCACCAGGGCACAGTCATACAATTAGATATTGAATATTGGGTAATTGAAAAGTACAGGGTAATTGAAAATCTAGGGGAATATAACTCAAACATATTTTTCAGAAGTTAAAAATGTATAAAAAATAAATTATCAAATATCACCTTGAGGAAAAGATCTTTCTTGCCCATAATATCCAAACTTGAAATTCCAAACTTCTTGCAAACTGAAAATAATTTTCCAGTTACTTAAAGAAATGAACAAATATTTAACTAAAGAACATATTTTGCAAACAGATTTTTCTTGTAAAAAGAAATCTACAGTAATTTTTATTAACAAAATTTATGTGCCGAAGGTGTATATCTGAACACTGTAATAAAAAATGAACTCACAATGCATCTTGTATTCCACCAGTGAAACGATCCATCAGTGTTACATATGCATAGTTGATTATCATGATTGAAATGACTAAAATACTTAAAAAAATCTTATTTACACAAACTGTTTATCAGCAAGTAAATTCTAATGCACGGACAATTTAAAAGTCATATCTGGTTAAAATATAGTAGTGAAAAATAAACATAAATAGGCTTAGTTAAAATATAATCTAATTAAAACATTTCTCAAATTAAATAAATTCTAGCTTATGAATGAATTATCTGAGATTTAATTAATTAATTATCTAAGTCAAGTAAAAGTACTTCTGAAGCATATTTTATTGGAATTTATGGCACAATTATTTTAGTAGATACTGACCAAAGTTTGAAAGATAATTTTTGCATATGTTTTCAAAATATATTTGGACACAATATACAATTTCTATAGGTTCTTAGGTGAAATTTTATAATTGATTTGCTTTTAGCACTGATTTCATATTCTGCAGATAATTGGACTGATTCTATGATTGCGGGATGATGCTATTCAATACTTATTTTAAAAATGATTAGCCTAGTGCAGTGGTTCTCAGACTATGGTCCATGGACCCCTGGGGGGGCTTGATGTCATCACAGGAAGTCTGTGAAATCTTGAAGAAATGTTCTGATTTAAATGTTAAGTCTTGGTGGTCTGTGGCCATGGTCCGTGGCCACAAAAGGTATTTTAAATACCATGGTGAAGAAAAGTTTGAGTACCACTGGCCTAATGTGTTATTTGATGTTGCAATCTTTCAGTGAAACCTATTGTATATGTACATTGCTTTTTACAGCTCTACATATTTCTCAGAAGCCATCCAGACCTTCATCATCTCTGATAAACAACAATCTTCCCATAAATGAACAACTCTTAGTTATTTTAGAAGACCAGACATCTCAAGAAAAGTCTAATGCTGGAGTACATCCTGTGCCAAAACCAAGATCAAAAGGCAATCTGAAACCAGTGGCTAAAGACAATCAAACAAACAATCAGGAACAAACCAGCCCATCAAGGACCGAAAATGATGAGTTATCTAATCCTTTGATGTTCCTACTAGACAGTAGCCATAGGGAAAGTCATATAGTAATGGACAGCATGGATACAGAGAACAACCAAAGTAATGTATTATCACGGATTAAATCATTTGAAACGCAAGGGAACATTGAAACTTCAGGAATAACCAAGAAACCAGAAGTATCTCCACGCTCATTAGGCCCCAAACCTATCATTAGTGCAAAAAAGCCTGTAGTGGCACCAAAGCCAGGAGTTAACAGAGCATCAGGAGAATGGGAGTCTTGGACAGAAAGCAGGCAAAAAGCCACCTCCCAAGAGAAGCCCCTTCAGTCTGAGGAAGTTGGGAGCAACATTAAAACCAAGCCTGAATTGCCAAAGAAGCCAACATTAATGACTGTAAAGAGTAATAGCAATGGGCTCCTTAATTCAGGAAGCGGATCAACTTTGGACAATACTGATGGACAGAGAAAAGTTCCCATTCCTGCTCCTAGGCCATTTGTTCTCAAGAAATCAGTCTCTTTTGAAAGTCCTTCTCTTCCTATGCTTCCCCTGAAACCAACATGTACTGTTCCCAAGCACCCTATAGCTGCCCAATCAAATGCCTTTAGATCCCCAGGGGAGTGTTTGCCAAGCAGTATTGTACCATCTCCAACACAAAATATTACTTCTGCAGAAGGAGATTTGATCAGCTTTGATGATGATGTTTTATCCTTTAACCCTGTCAAGGCTGTTCAAGACGTTTCTCATTCAGAATCAGGTAAGCTTTAAAATGAGAAAATGAGCTTTTGTAAAAAAAAAAAAAAAAATAGTTTCAGGTTGTATAGTACATTCAGGTACATTTTAATAGCAATATTAGTATATATATAAAAACTATGAAACCAAAACTTATTCATTTGCAAATGTTTCTGTCTATAATGGATTTGGTCAGATGCACTGGTGAACTTTCTAGTTGAGGGCTGTGGTATCAAATCAATGCCTATTCAATATTACAATATTCTTATTTGACTTTAGCCTCCAAATACACGGGTTTGCAGAATTACTGGATTTTTGTTTATTTGTTACTATCTTCCATGTTCTCCAGAACATGATAAAATATGATAACGGAAATATGATAAAAGGTAAATGCTATTACCGTATTTTCCGGCATATAAGACGACTTTCTAAAGCGCGGAAATCGGCGCCGAAGTCAGGGGTCGTCTTATACGCTGGAAATTACGGTACTTTGGATTACAATATGTCAAAGACTCCAGATAAGCTTTCAGGTTATAGCCAGGATTGGTTTGTGTGCTTAACTTTAAGGAAACTGAATTCTGGAGTGGCCCTCCTTATCTTTGATTTCTTAGAAAACACATGCTTGAATTACAGCAAAGGAAAACAATGTTTTGAAAATGCTATTGCCACATCTGACAGTAAATACTGTAAATTGCAAGAAGCTTCTATAAATGTTTCAAACTAGGTAACATCAGGTCAGAAATTCCACTCCTGACTAGCACTAATGATGTTACCTAGTTTAGAGATAATGAAACGCCTGCAAGAAAACAACCACGCTCAGGGAGCACCAAGGACCTCTCTTTCAGCCCTGAATTATTGTATTTTATTCTTTCTGTTCTGTTACCATTATTCCTTTTGTTACTTATTTATCTGGAATCCCTCCAATTCTCATTGCTCGTTTTGTGCTTATTTATCTGGAACCCCTCCACCATTTTGCATATTTGAAGGGGAGGGAAAGAAGACATATAGTATTGTATAAATATATTTTATACTATCCAGTATAGTAATAAACTTTTAATATTTTTTTTCAGATTATTCTTAAAGTGTAAGCTTGCACATACTTGCCCAGAAATATTTCATAATAATTTGTTTTCCAATTTCTCAAATCCTTCCTTTCTCATTAAAATTTGTAAACATTTGGTCTTCTTTGAATTATGAAATTTTAGTTATTTCAAATACTGACAGAATTATCCTTCTTCAGAATTTACTTTTACAACAAATGGAACTGAATATTAGTCTGTAATTGAACAGAAAAAAACAGGCACTAGCTTATGATTGATTTTTTTGAAATTCAGTTCAATTATTTTTTATTAAATTTTTGTAAGGCTTGCATAAAAAATACTAAGTTTGAGGTCTGATAATAACATTGAGGAGATATGCACCAGAGAGATTAAGAGTTAAACAAATGTATATGTATGAGTTTACATGTCAAACCCAAATAGTTGCAAGAGTGAATGCAATTCTGGGAACCATTGTGAACGCTTTTGAAATTTAATAACCTAATTATTGTTACTAGAAATGGAAATGGAACATATTGATGCTGTTAATTAGTTGGTGTAAACTAATAATTCCTATATTAGGCTTAGTACATTTTTAGCTCTAGAATATTAGCTGTTTGTGTGAAATAGACTACTTTTGTTTAGATATGTGTATATTAGAAATGCAATTTTATATACTGATTTATAAACCAGTGGATAGCAAAGGTCCCAATTAAAGAAGAAACTTATTATATTTAATAATGTTTATAGGCAGATATTTTTAAATAGATCAGTTGTACTTTATTTATATGAAAATAAAATGGTACTAAAAAAACCTGATTTTCTGTTGAAGCTCTAGTTAATTTAGATACTAAAGAATGAAGATTACAATTTACTTTAAAAAATATAGAACTGGTTTATGAATTTAAAACCAGGAAATTCCTGCAGTTATTTCCATCCCATCAATGTGACCAAGTTATAGGGTGAAAAATTATAATTATGAAAATAGTTCTTTTTTCTGTTTGGGGTGGTTCATGTGGTGGCATTCAAGCTGAATTCATAGGGTGATTGGCTGAAGAGTTCACACATCCTCTCTCAAAATTTTATGGTCTTCACCCTTTGGTCCCAACTCCTGCTCTGGGGTACTGGCTTGGTAGTTCCTGCTACCAACTCTGTTCAAGAGGTGAACGAAAGAGGCATCATGGCCTTGCATCCTCCCCTTTAACTTTGAGTGTGAGAGAGTGTTGGCAAGTAAGAAGGTAAAAATAAGAATGAGAGAGTAATTGCACCTCCTGGCCATATAGCATCAAGGCAAGTGACTACAGGTGGTATCATTCCATTTCTCTGTCACCTCCACTACTTCCACCCTGGGAGAAAGACCTCACAAGAGTAAATAAAAAAATCGTACAAGAGTAAATAAAAAAGGGTATGTGTGTGTCTGTATATAAATTTATATAACTCTTGGCCTATGTATTCATTGTTGCAAGAGCTAGTGTACAGAGTTGGTGAATTACAGCAGTTGGCAGATAAATTAAACTCAAAAATTCAAAAGCCACAAGATGGTACTGATTTCTTCTAATCATCTCGTATTTTGCGTTACATAGAATTTCTTAGAGAAAAAAACATGATGTGAAGAGAACTGAAAAGAAGTGTTTTTGTGAATAACCTGATATGCACATAAAAGGATGAAATAAATACAATAACTGAATTTGTGTATAAATATAAAAAGCATTACACTTAAACAATTTAAATAAAACTAACGTAGCTACTATTAAAATATTTTCTTATTTCCTAAAGATAACTTGGATCTTAAAGTCCTCTGCTTCTTTTCCCTGCATCTCTCTCAGCCCCTGAGGATAATTCCAGCCATTTATTTATTAAATTTAATGAAAGATATAGGAAAAATAGTATACCCTTTCTTTTATTTCCAGATTAAGCACAACAAATACTCCCTAGAACACCCTAGAAAATAACACTTTTTTCCTATTTAGGAAAGAGAGGGGCTGGTACATTTGCCTTTTCTTTATATGAACAAAATCATGCTTCCCAATGTGTGTTCAGTGGCTTAGTAACTGGCTGTCATTCCTGTAAATGTGAACTGGCATCATCACATTGGCACTGTGAGAAATCTAAGTTGCTGCAGGCCTATCCAGAACTGAAGAATGAGATAACTGGCAACTGAAAGTGGCTTTTGTAGTCTTTCAATGTGAAGCCGGATATGATAGATGTTATGTGTATTTTGGAAAGCTTTATAGGAAGTAAAAGATAATAATGAACCAAAACACACACACATCGAATGGCCAAAAAAAAGCAAGCTCAGCAGCCAAAGAATGTTCAGGGCAAATTGAAAAAAAAACAAAACCCTGAGAATAAATGTGAGTGAAATGTTCTCTTTAGAGGGAAGCTATCAAGCCCCTAATAACATTAGACCAAAGGAGCAGGATTCACACAGTCTTATTCATCAGGATTAATGCAAGGAAAAAGGAGTTAGATTAAAAAAATCTTGTAAACTAATTTTAAAAAAAACATTCTTTATTATTGAACTTTTTAAGGAGAAGCTTTGTGTGAGTTATTTGAATTTAATTCTTCAGATTCCATAACTGATTACGGATGCCACATAATAGATAAGGCTGAAATTTGTTCCTCGTTTGCAATATTTTGAAAGACACTCTTATCTTTACTGGGCTGGAATTCCCTTATTGAAATAAATTTAAACTTTAGTCCCTGTGATATAGTATTTCTTTCAGCATACAACCCTAAATTTCTATGAGTGTTACTAATATTTCCTCTTGAATGGGGACAGAATAAAATGCTATGTTTTGCATTTTTCTTAGATCTTACTAATTTGCCATCCAAAGCTGAATCTGCGAAAGAGCAACCAGTTCAGCCAGCTGTTGTTCGTAAACCTACTGTAATCCGAATTCCATCTAAACCAGCGAAAGGTAATATCTATAATATCCATCCATCCATTCATCCATCCATCCATCCTGTATGAAATATATAATCCTGAGAAATCTATCTTGGCCTAAAGTTGTTTTTGATAGAACATATTACCTCAAAGGATGATTTTTCTACGTTTTAGATACCCCCTGAAAAAAGAAAGAATATTTTAAAAATTATAATCACAAATATCCTCCCCCCCCTTCTTGTTAAATTGAGCTTGCCAATTCTAAATGAAAGAAAACTGGAGATTTCATGTATGTTCAGATATTTATATACATGTATGTGTACTTAAATTTTTTGAATTTAGGTTTCCTTTTCTCAAGGCTCAAGTAAACCATCATGAGTCCATTAGAGTTGGGCAGCTAATCAAATAAATAATAATTCAATATTTACTCTTACTCCCCTCTCTCCTTCTAGGGGGAACAGGGAAAAAAAGTAGGGAAAAGCAGAATGGAGATAGCAATGAAAAAGTGTCATAGCTGTCCTTAAAAAAAGAGAAAGGAAGGAAAGAAGGAAAGAGGAAAAAAGGAAAGAAAGAAAGAAAAAGAAAGAAAAAACTGGGTAGAATTAAGGCAAGGGAAAGAGGTAATTGGATAGAGAGGAAAAAAATAAACAAAAAAGCCTTGTTAAGTATTAAACTAAGTTAAATTTTGCACAGCAAGCAGCCTGACCCAAGCTAATTTGACAGGTTTCCAGCATGAGTCTCTGTAGTGATCTGCATTTCTTAATTGTGTACCCTTAAAAATAATCAAATGCTCTTCATACATCAATGTTTTTCAAACTTGGCAACTTTAAGATGTGTAGACTTTGGCTGGAAATTCTGGAAACTGGAATCCATACATTTTAATGTTGTCAATTTATACTTACAAAGAGGTAACCCTCAACATACAACAATATGTACAATAACTGTTTGAAGTACAAGGCCACTGAATAAAGGGACATATGAATGGTTATGATTGTTGCAATGTTCCTATAGTCATGTAAACAAAATATGGGTACTTAGCAACCAGTTCACACTTACAACTGGTTGCAGCATCTCATAGTCATATAGTTGCTATTTGCAACTTTCCCTACCAGCTTCCCCCAAGCAAAGTCAAGCCAGTTAGGTACCTTAAGTATTCCTCACATCACTCCCCAGCTTTTCTTTGCTCTTTCTTTCTTCCCCCTTTGCTTGCTTGCATGTACTGCACTGTCCTCCCTGCCTCACTTAACTTGCATGCACCATGCTTTCCTTTCCCTTTTTGCTTGCAAACATGCACCTACCAGTGCCCTCCTTCCTGGGCCTCTCTGCACTTTACGTCCTCCTTCTCAGGCCTTCCTGGACCGCAAGCACCTGCACCTTCCTTCCCAGGCCTTCCTATCCTGAACACACTGCAGCAAACCTTTCCCCCAATTGGCAGGCAGCTAGTGCTAGGGTTTACCCCACCCAGCTATGACACCCTGGTGCTCTTTACCAGGGATTCCTGATGCTTCTTGACTTGAATGTCTTGGGAGTATGATGGCAATCAGGATTAAGCGATGCAGTCATGTGATGTTGTGTTTAACAACTCCGTTCCTTAGTGACGGCAATCCTGGTCCCAATTGCCACTGTAACTTGAGGACTACCTGTAGTGCAATTCCACTGTATATCAGTGAGATCTGTTATATTTTTCCACTGAATATTTTTGTAGAATAACTTTTCTTAAATAACTCAGAATTTTGATAGTTAATATTGGGAAATTATAAATATTTTTGCAGCTTTAAATGACATTCTGGAAAGCCCTCCTCCTCCACTACCTACAGAGAAACCAATTGGAAACACATCTAGTATTGCAACTGGAAAACTTAATAACATCGACATACTTAACAAGGTAATGCATTTTCCCTTCCTTCCTTCCTTCCTTCCTTCCTTCCTTCCTTCCTTCCTTCCTTCCTTCCTTCCATCCTTCCTAAAAAAAAGGAAGCCACAATATTGAATTATTTTAGTTAATCTTTAAGCAAAATTTCTTTTCACTGAAGATAATTCTTTATACAGACAATGTATGCTGTGTTAATGAAAGCCTAGCAGAGGAATCTACTACATGCTTTAGCTCTGGTTTCCTGCATCAAGCAGGAATTATAATTGAGTCACTGTATTTTTGGCTAAATGTCCTTAAAGGTGTTACACTGCTTAATATGCATATTTCACCAATTAGGTACTTTCCCCCCTCCCCAAAATGGTACAGGTGAGAAAATTGCTAGAATCTTCAAAGAAATAAACTCAGATTCCTTGAATTCAGACATATCCAGTTCCTGCTTTGGTTACTACACTTACCTTGCCTAATTCCAACCAATTTTCCTAGATAGTATATAAGTCTGCTTTAATTCGTACTATGTGTTGTTGAATCACTCATATGAAAGACCACTCATATGAAATTCTGAAAAATTGTCCCTTCTGTCTTGTACTTTTTGACATTTAATCATATCATGGATTGAAGTAAAGAGCTCATCCATTTTTAACAAGGTCAGCAACCACCCTAACCCTGCTGCACTTGCATTGAATCTCCCCTACCACCCACGTTCCCTTGCACACTCTGCTTGAGTCGCCCCTCCCCTGCCACCTACACACCCTCATGCACCTCCCTGAGACTTGCAATGTTTGCACCTCTCTGTGCACCTTTGTGCATTCTCTCCCACCCAATGGTAACCACCCCAAGCACTGTCATGCTTTTTCTGGACTTCTGCAGCCACACTTCACTCTCCTCCCCCTCCGGGCAGCAGTCACTTATCTGCCTGCGCCTATATCCAAGCTTCCTAAGACTTACAACTTCCTGATGGCTTCCCCACTGACTTGTGGTTGTTGGAAACCAGCAGGAAGTTGTGAGGAGCTGCTTGCTTAATGACCCACAACCCTCCCTTAACAATAGCAACAGGGATTCCGTGGACTGCCATCACTAAGCAATGTGATTATGTGACATTGCAAATTTCAGATTGTTTAGTAATAGACATTCTGGTTCGAAGTGCAGCCATAACTTGAGGACTACCTGTATATATGCAAAAGCATGTGTAGTGTAATGGCTAAAGCACCAGGTTAGAAACTGGGAAACTTGAGTTCTAGTCTACCTTAATCATGAAGTCAGCTGGCTCTCTCTTTCTTAGTCTTAGGAAGAAGGCATTTGGCCAAAAATGTTGCCAAAAAATTTGTATAGATTTGTCCAGGCAATTACCACTCCTTTTCTTATCTTGTATTTTCCTTTGAAATGATCATAACAATTCTAATATGTTTTTGTCCAAATAATAATAACATTTAATGACCAATAGGAACCTGAACAGCCCGGCTTGATACAGCCATTCAGGAATGACCCTGTTCTGCCTCCAAGGTGAGTATCAAAATGAGTAGCACAGGTAAAGGGATTGATGTTGTGCAGTACATATTCTGCTACCATGATAATATTAATATTAGTTGTATAGTTTTAATTTGTTGCATTATATAGCAAAATATAAAATATTCTACCATTTTAAAATACATATGGACTATGTATGGATTATATTGATTATTCTCTTATTTTGCCCTAGAAGATAGAAATAATTACATTCACAGTCTGACCCATTCATAATATTTAGCAGAATAGACTGTTATGAAGTTACGGGAGAATGTATATTAGTAAATCAGTGTTTGTTGTTATTGTGAAGAAACCAAAGCAGATCTCCAGTTTTAATTTTAAAGAAATCTTTATGTACATTTTAATCTGCTTAACAAATTGCACAAGGTAAACTAATGCATTACATTAATTAGAAAAACAAAACAAAGTGCCAAGTATTGAATAGGGGAATCTAACAATGAAGTTGCTTCCAGTGGGATTCTAATGGTTTTAGCCACTGGAATTCTAATGTTTTAGTCAAGCCAATGCAATCCTTTTTGTGCTGTTTCCTTGCTTGAAATTGTCTAACTATATGCTGTTTTACCCAAAAACTTCCACGTAGATACTCTTCTCATTTTATTTTCAGATAGCTAATATAATATTGATGAGATGCATACATTTGGCATGTGAATTTCATTTTTATAGAAGGGATAAATTATATATTGTATATCATGAATAAGAATATAGTTTAATAATCACTGATCCTCTAACATAGCATTTCACTCAGCTTAGTTGCAATGAATATAGTACTCTTAGCAGATGCTTTAAAAAACTCTGTAATAGGGATCAACATTACTTGTTATGTATCAATAATTGTAATGGTATGTGGAAATGTTTTTGGGAGACGAGGGGGAGGAGAGAAGAGATGTTGCCTAGGGAACAGTCAGATGAGAGAAAGTTAGGAATAGATCTTTGTGGACAAACTCTATCTTCATGGTCACCTGGAATCAAAAATGAGTTGATGATAATTAATCTAGCAATAGTTTTTAATAATTCAGAGTGTATTTGTAATATAATTAGAATAAAATATCTTTTTAATACCACGCTTTCTTCATAATTTCTAGACCTGTTCAGGAGAAAATCATACCATCTCGACCTTTTGCACCTAAAGGTGCCCCAGGAAGACCACCACCACCAAAATCCACCAAAATCTCATCAGATACTGATAGATTTCCACGCTCATCATCTGATGTAACACTCCATAAGAAATCTAGCATGCTTGGATTGGGAATAAAAAAAACAAAGAGTGATGATTTTAAAAAACATGGCTCAGTTTTACCCCCTCGACCCAAGCCAGGTCATCCTCTGTACAATAAATACATGGTAAGAAGATTAATTTCATTAGGGGGAGATTGACTTTGCACATATTGTCTCTTATTAAAAGAGTAGGCAGATTTATTTTAATTGTATAAACATTTAGCAAATAAAATATATCATATTTCCAGATGTACTTTCTGGTGGCACTGGAGTTTTATAGACTTGCATCATTTTTCTCCCTTTTGGGATATAAAATTTAACATTTTAGTAGCTGTGTGGGCAAGTATCAGTTCTTGAAACATATCAAGTAACAAAAGAGGTAATTATTTCAACTTTTCATCAGCAATTATAGACAAAAACTTTCACCTATGAGAACTAAAAGGAATACCGAACCTTGTGCAAGATTCAAACCAGGGATCTCTCATTTTGTAAATAAAGAACTGGAATTAACTAGTTATAGGATTGACTGAGTAACAGTTCATTTAGATCTCCAAAATGAATCCCAGAAAAGAAAATGATATGTAATGCTTGAATGCATTTTCATGACAAATAATAAAACATGAAAATGTATATTAGATTGTCAAAAGTTATTTTTGATGGAAATGTGAATAATTTATTTCAAGCTTCCTGTGCATCATGGAATTGCTAAAGAAGACATTTCATCTCAAAATGCTGGACATCTCTGTTGTAAGGTAATGCTGATTTCTACAGCTATGGAAGTTTATAAATATGTTTAGTCATCAATCTGCTAACCTTTTATAATTTTAAAGTGTGGAGATGTACTTGTTCTGGTGGATCAAGTTGAAAATACCTACATAGAATGCAAACATGGAGGTGAAACTGGCAAAGTTCATTTATCCCAAATACAGATAATCTACCCTGAGGGTGCAAAGCAAATAGCAAGTATAAATTTCAATAATTAAACACTATTCTAGGCATACAATATTACCTGGGATACATTTGGTACATCCTAATCCCAAATATAATTTTTGCAGCAATGTAAGGGTCTGTTAAGTGTTTTATCATGTTGGATTCCATTGAAGATTTAATAAGAGTCCCTTGGACAATTGAGGTGGTATATGAATTGAACAAATAAAACATCTTCCAAAAACATGTTGTGTTTTAGAATAGTAACTATTTATCAAAGGGATTCGGTGTTACTGTCACTGTTATAATGTTAGCATTTAGAAAAATTAGAAAATATAAAAAACAAGGAGGAAGGAATCTTACTTGGAAATATTTAATTCCAAGTACCCAAAGCAGATCGTGCAAAGCTGATTTTGTTTTTGATGATGCATGCACCGTGTTGACTTACTAATTTTCAACAAGATTGGCTGTATTAAACTCTAAATTGATTCTCTTTAGCTTTGGGGGATTTTGCACTTGAAATCAGTGAAGAAAGTATTTTACTCAAGAAATTATAGAATATTGGGTATCGTAATTGCCAAATCTGTTGTGTTTTTAAGGATTCAGCTAATATGCAGAAGATGAGTGATTCAAATGTTCCTCATGCAATAGTGCTGCATAATTTCACAGCAGGTAAGAAGTGACATCAGAGTAAATGAAAATATAGTTTTGCTTTTTGAACGATTCTTAATATACGTTGGTTTACTGTTTGCATTATACTAGAATTTGAATCCCTTGATTGTACTGATCTTAAGGCGTGTTAGTTGTTAAAGGGCAATTGCCATGTCCTGACATTAAATTCAAAACCTTTTGCTTCTGGCATATTCCTTGGTGGGAAGACTGGTGGGGAGAGAAATATTAGCAAATGCTTGAAGCCTCTGTTCTTAATGATTACAGTTTCACTTTTTTTCCTTTGGTTTTTCTGCTTAGGTTGCTTTCTTCTCCACAGAAGAGTTTCATCACTTTCTTTTTGTACTCCTTAGTAAAAGAGCAATTACTTTTAATGCTATTAGCTGCCTGTTCCTTTGGCCTATATTTATGTAATGTAGCTACCAGAAATAGATTTTAGCCTAAGTGAGATAGCCTAAGCTATCAACTAAAACAGTTTTAATTTTTATTTTTCTATAGAGCATAATGATGATTTGGACCTTAGTACTGGAGACACAGTTTTTCTTCTGGAAAAAATAGATGATGAGTGGTATAGAGGAAAATGCAAAAATCGTACTGGAATTTTTCCGGCTAGCTTTGTCAAAATTGTTGTAAGTGAAATATATTGTATTTCATTTGGGTTCACATTTGAGTTCTAATTTAATTTTTTTCTTGTGCATTTTGTTGAGCATATCATGCAGTTAAATCTTGCTTGAGTGCACAAAGTAGATATCATATTTTTTGTAACATGCAGCAAATCTATTTAAATTTGCATCTTTCTTGATCTTTATGGTTTTCATTTTCACAATAAATTGAAATTAAGTGTGAAAATACGCTTTACTTAATTCAAATGTGCTCATAAATTAACCAGGGTACGTAGTGCGGTTTTGCTTTTAGATTTTTCCTGGGTGTATCTGATATGATTGTGTTCCCTGGCTCCATTTCAGTATTATAATCACATGTGAATGACTCACCAATAAAATTTTGTAATATTCAGTAAAGTCATGCAAAACTGAATGAAGTTTGAAGGACACTGCTTGATCCACTGTGATCATCCAGAGATTTAGAGTGCAATGTCATCAATATGCAGAGATCCCTCCCTTGATGGAGCTAGAAATTGACTTTATGACTTTGATCCTTAGGTCCAGGATTGGAAAGATCGCTATTTGGGTTGGGAGTAGTATTTCTTCAAAGGAAGGAAGAGAGGAACAGAAGCAGAAAGAGATAGGTCCACTAGAAGTACAAATGAGGAGGATCTTTGCTAAATTTCAGTTGGTATATTAATATTCTACCAGCTACGCTGGATTAGCACTAACAATCTTACCACTATATCATTGCTTAACATTTTGTGTGATCCTGATGATAATCCAAAAATGTCAATCCCCATATATCTGATATTAGTAAGGAAGGAAGAATAACACGGATTTCACTAGTGGGTATGGGGTGTCAGTTTGGTATAAATAGAGATTTTTTAATACTGTAATACGATTTTTAGTTTTCCATTTTAGTGAGTTAATTAACGTGAAGTCTTTAAAACATCTTTTCCCTGAAATGTCCTTCCAGAGACAATCATTTTAATTTATCAGATGACTTGGTCTAAGCCAGTGCTTCTCAACGTTTGTGTGACGGTGACCCCCGTCACACAAACGTGCCGCGCATGCGCGGCGGCGCCCCCATGCACGGCAGCACCCCCATGCGTAGCGCGCATGCGTGGCGGCGCCCCCCGAGGGGGAAAAATGGCGGATCGGCTTGTTTGGCGACCCCCGAGAAATGGTCGATCGACCCCAAATGGGGTCGTGACCCATAGGTTGAGAACCGCTGGTCTAAGCTTTCCCAGAATTTCTTTTTAAAAAGCTGCAGCAGAATAATAGAGTTGGAAAGGACCTTGCAGATCTTCTAGTCCAACCCCCTGCTCAACAGGAGATCCTACACCATTTCAGACAAATGTTGTCTAATCTCTTCTTAAAAACCTCCAGTGACGGAGCACCCACAATTCTAAAGGCAAGCTGTTTCACTGATGAATTGTTCCCACTGTTCTCCTTAGTTCTAGGTTGGATCTCTCCTTGATAAGTTTCCAATTGTTACTTTTTGTCCTGCCTTCAGGTGTTTTGGAGAATAGGTTGACCACCTCTTATGTATGACAGCCCTTCAAATATTGGAAGATTGCTATCATGTCACCCCTAGACCTTTTTTTTAGTTTGACTAGATATACCCAGTTCCTGCAACCATTCTTCAGTTTTAGCCTCCAGCCCCCTAATCGTCTTTGTAGATGTATTTGTAGAACATTTTTTCCTTTTTTTCTTACCTGGCCACAGTATTTTCAAGACTATGGTTAGCTGGAGTTCCTGCCATCAGGGAAACAGCAGTGGGACTATCCAGCAAGTACAATACATTAAGAATATCATACTAGAGACACTGGGTAATATATTATTACAATCAGATACTTAATTTTTGTTTTCTTTTGTATGAATAAAATGGTAGAATTTGAGACATATATTTTTTTGGTGATGAAAGGAGAAAAACCCTACTGAAGTGTATAAAGTTTGAATAACAATGCTAACCGCTATGAAGGGAAAACATTCATAATAGACCACAGTGTCAATTAGGAGCAGAAAGCAAAAGCAAAAAATTGTAATTTTTAAAATTACAAATAGTGTTGATTTTAGTCATTATATGAGCAATCAAGAGAGGATTGTTAGCATAAAATTTGTAGTTTCCAAGAAATGAAAATCAGAAGGAAGTACAATGGTGCATCTTCTAATTTGCTGACTGAAGAATGACAACAAAACAAAACCTCTTACTAAATTTTTGTAAATGCTTAGCATTTCCATATGACGAGATACAGTTAGAACTGCAGTTTGACCAAGCAAGTTTGATAAAAAGTAGGCTTCTTGTTCAAATTCAAAGGCCAACAGAAAGCACAGGAATATCCCTACATCCGCTTTCTAACAATTCCTTTTTTAAAATTCTGCCTTTATTATTTTTATAAATACAGCTAGACCTCAACTTACGACCACAATTGAGCCCAAAATTTCTGTTGTTAAGTGAGACATTGGCTGTGGGTTTTGCCCTATTTTACGACTTTCCTTGCCACCGTTGCTAAGTGAATTGCTGCAGTTGTTAGTAACAGGGTTGTTAAGTGAATCTTACTTCCCCATTGACTTTGCTTCTGATAAGGTTGCAAAAGAAGATCACATGACTCCAGGACCTGCAACAGTTATAAATATGAACCACTTGCCAAGTAACTGAATTTTGACCACATGACCATGGGAGTGCTGCAGTGGTCTTAAGTGTGAAAACTGGTCATAAGTCACTTTTTCCATTGCTGTTGTAACTTTGAATGGTCACTAAATGAAATGTTGTAAATTGAGGACTACTTGTAACTCAAGGCAGCAAACATACCTCCTCCTCCCTCCTCCTCCTATTTTCCCCACAACAATCCTGTGAGGTGGGTTGGGCTGAAAGAGAATGACTGGCCCAAAGGTACCCAGCCTGTTTTCATGCCTAAGGTGGGACTCGAACTGACAGTGTTCTGATTTCCAGCTTGCTGCCTCAATCACTAAACCAAACTGGCGACTGGGTTTTTAGGAACTCAGAGAGGTATGGATCTATGCAATCCTCGACTGCAAGCAAGTCAACCGTGCTCTCACAGTCACTGCATTTGTGGGGTTGGGCCACCTTAATGGCTTGCAGGGCTATCTTCTGAAACTGCAGTACAATCCAGGATAAAGATGTATTTGATTTAAACAACTGCAGCGTCTTGCTGTGTACCTTCCTGACCTTTGAAGGAGGAATAGAGCCCTAATAATTTTTTTTAAGAAATTAATTAAGGTACATAGATAAAATAGTTAAATATTCTTATGGTCTCCTTCCTAGATTGATACTCCAGGAGAAAACAGCTGGAAAAAGGAGCAGCTTTCACCATCCAATATTGTGTAAGTTTTCAGAGAAGTGTTGGCTTTTCAGTCTCGAACACACAGATTTATTTTCCATTCATACAAAAGTATTCTGGCTACCACTCACAGCAAGTAAAATCCTATCTTGGAGACTTCAAACACAGAATAATTCTTGGAAAGGGAATTATAAAATAGCATACCGTAGAACATTACAAAACAAAGTCACAGGATTGTTTAAGGATTTTAAATTGGTGTTTAAATATTTAGCGTTTGGATGGCTTGCCGTGTGTGCATTTCTGTGTGTATGTGTCTGTATATACATGCACATACACACACATGAATTTTTTTTTTACTATTTCTACTACAAGTACAGATACAATATATGATAGAAATATATATGTGATGACAAAAAAAGAGATTGTGTAGTGTATATTTCTTTGAAGTTCTAATAGAGAAATCATTCAAATAAGAAATATGTGATAAAGGTCTAATAAACAAATATAAAATTATAAGCCTAAATGATGTAAGATGATTTTTACTTTTTTGTATTAATAATGAATATATATTTAATGCAGTTGACTTCGAATAATAAGTGAAACAAATGAATGAAAGAATGATATTTTTCCTTTTACTATTTTTCTTTCTTTGTTATTTTAGTGGCTCAAGATGTAGAGCTAGATTTGAATACATTGGAGACCAGAAAGATGAATTAAGTTTTTCAGAAGGTGAAACTATTATTTTAAAAGGGTATATTAATGAAGAGTGGGCCAAAGGAGAGCTGAGAGGTACTTCTGGAATTTTTCCCTTAAATTTTGTGGAAGTTATTGAAGATCTGCCTGAATCAGGTAAACACAAACAAAACAAACAACTAACAAACTGGTGAACAAAAAAAACAGCACCTCACAGTGGATAATTAATGTGACAAAATGTCTTATGTAATAAAGACAATTAAATATTTGGGTATAGAAAAACACATACCAAAATTAGAAATGTTAACCTCCTTCATTGATATTTTATATATTATATAAATCAGTATTTTTGCATGTTCTATTATTGGTCATGCTGTGCTTGTGTTAACATAAAATCATGACTTTAAACATTCTCGTGTTTCCCCAAAAATAAGACTGGATTTTATTTTTAATTTTTTTTGCCTCCAAAAGAGGCACCAGGTCTTATTTTCAGGGGATGTCTTACCTCCGGCACCGACAGCCCCGCCCATCTGGCCCATTTCTTCTGGAGCCGAAGGAGCAGCTTCATTCTGCAGCTGCATTCCAGCCTGCATTTTGCAGTCAGCCTTTCCAGAAGGCCTATGCAGCTGAGTACCTCAGCCACAGAGGTCTTGCAGAACCGACCTATGGATTGAATCCATAGCTTGGTTCTCGGCTGCAGAGGCCTTCCAGAAAGGCCTGTGACTGAGAAATGGTGGCCTGGCTGCAGAAGATGCCGCAGAAGAAATGGGCTGGCGAGGAGAGGCCTGCCCGCAAGGTAAGTGAGTGTGGGGCGCATGGGGCAGATCCACCCCCCCGCCCTAGCTTGATTTTTAAGTGGGTGCCTTGCCCCAAAACTAGGGCTTATTTTGGGGGTAGGGCTTATATTAGGCCCACACCCAAAAATCAAGCTAGAGCTTATTTTTGGGGTAGGCCTTACTTTCAGGGAAAACAGTATGTATGCTATAGATACACAATGAAAGAATACAGTATGAGTTGAATCATAACACTTCTACAAAATTTTATAATAGCTATTGTACAGGTAGTCCTCACAACAGTTCATTTAGTTATATTAAAATCATAAGCACAATAAAATCCCTTCGTTATAATGGCAATAAAAAGAGACTTTTGACCGTTTTTCATACCTATGACCATTGCAGCATCCCCATGGTCACATGATCAAAATTCAGCCTCTGTCATATTTATGACAGTTGCAATGTCCTGGGATCATGTGATCATCTTTTGCGACCTTCTGACAAGTAAAATCAATGGGGAAGCTAGATTCACTGAATAACCGTGTAACTAATTTACAGTAACTGCTGCAGTGATTCACTTAATGCTGACAAGAAAGGTAAAATGGGACAAAACTCACTTAACAACCGAATGCTTGGGCTCAATTGTAGTCATACGTTGAGTACTGTCTGTATACATGTGTGTGATATACTAGTGTTAGATTGTATTAAAGAACCATTCACTGCATTCTGTCTTATCATTCAATCCTAAAATTGTATACAGTCTCCAAAATACTTGGGCCAAAGAATGTCAGAAATCACATGCTTGTTTAGAAACATGCAATTTGAGAAAAATCACCCTTAAAATATATCAGCACTAAGATAACTTTTGCTGGAATGTGTCTCTCAGGCCTACGATAAGTTTTCTACAGGTTTTTTTCCCCTTTAAAAGCAATGACAGGGTGGGATGCAATAGAACATTTATAGTGAAAAGTTCACAAATCTCACCAAATTGAGAGGTAACTCTGTTTTGTTAAATAAACCTCATCTGTCTGGGTTCACAAGACACACTAAGCTGATTTAATGGCAAAATCGGCTATACAATTTATAAATCGGTTAACTACAGTTTATTAACTACAATGACTAGGTTTGCCCAATATGCAGAGTGTAAAACAAACAACAAACAACATTATTAATGTGATAAATGAATCCAACCATTCTGTTTCAGACTTTCAACAATTGTTTCTTGAAGTTGTTTTTCTCTGTATGTATTATATTATGAATATTACTGGTAGAGACTATATTTAAACTCTGAATAGTATTAAAAATATTTGATAATGTTGATTTGTTAACCTTTTATTATAGATGATGGCAGCTTCCCACTGAGGAGTAAACATTCAGGATCAATGACACAGGTAATGTATTTATCATTTTATAGCATGTAATCAACCAGACACAATCAGTTATTCTAATATATACATTAGAAGAAACAAAAAGATTCACCAACTTTGTTTATTGCAGAGTTAAAAATTACTTTTCCTAATATGTTAATTTATTGCATTAAAGTAATTAATTTGTTTAAGTTTATTAAATGATGTGTATAGAGTTCATTGGATAGACTGTTGTTTTCTCAGTAACACTAGAAAGTTTAAAGCTTACATGCATATTATTTCTTTGTTTTCAAAGCTGGAAGGACAAGCTGGACAGTGGTGTAATGCTCTTCATGATTTTACAGCAGAAACACAGGAAGATTTATCATTTAAAAAAGGAGATTGTATCTTAATATTAGAACAACTGGATTCAGAATGGTATAAAGGAAGGCTAAATGGAAAGGAAGGCATTTTCCCAGCTGTGTTTGTTCATGTTTGTTCAGGTATAGTGCTGAAAGAAAAATGGAACTGTTTTCATCCTGTTGTACAGGCTATAAAGATACAGGTGGTCCTTGATTTACAACTGTCATTGAACCACAATTTCTGTTGTGTGTCATGATGATCATAAAGTTGCTCAATTTTACAACCTTTTTAGCAACTGTTATTAAGGGAATATGATATTGTATTTCCCCGGAAATAAGACCTATCCCAAAAATAAGTCCTAGCTTGATTTTTACGTGTATGCCTAATATACCATATTTTCCTGAAAATAAGACCCAGTCTTGCCTCCAAAAGAGGCAATAGGTCTTATTTTCGAGGGGTGTCTTTTCCATGGTATCATCTACCCAGCCGACCCACTTTTTCTGCAGCTGAAGGAAATGTCTCTGCAGCTGAGAATGGAGCTCCATATTGACGCATGCTGTGCCCCCCCCCCAGCCTGCATTTTGCCATCAGAAGCCTTCCGGAAAGACCTCTGATGGCAAAATGCTGGCTAGCGGGCACCACAGAAGAAATGGGCCGGTGAGGCAAGTCAGATGTCACTGCATGGGAGGCCTGGCTGCAATGTAAGGGTGCGGCCACGTGGGACAGCTCCACCCCCCGACCCCCACCCTAGCTTGATTTTTAGGCTTCCGCCTTGCCCCCAAACTAGGGCTTATTTGGGGGGGGCTTATATTAGGCCCACCCCCCAAAAATCAAGCTAGGGCTTATTTTCAGAGTAGGTCTTACTTTTGGGGAGACATGGTAAGACCTGCTCCCAAAATAAGCCCTAGTTTGTGGGCGAGGCACGCGCTATGCTGGGGGTGGGGGCGTAGAGCTGCCCAATGTGCCCTGCATCTGCTTACTTTAGGACCACTGCAACCACTGTCATTCTGCTCTTGAATTCTGCAGCCACTTGTGGCTGGATGCCACATGGCACATTGCACTGGTGCAGCAGGATGCCGCATGGCTCATCACATCGGTGCCACTGCTTGCAGCAGGAGGTCACAAGTGGCAGCACCGGTGCGATGCTCGTTGTGGCATCCTACCATGAGCGATGGTACCATCACTCTGCCCCGCGTGTCCTCCTACCGTGAGTGGTGGCATTGGCACAGTACATCAGACAGCAGCACGACAGGTGTCAGTGCACAGGAGGTCCAGCTATGGCAGTCCTAAGGTAAGTGGGTAAGACATCCCTAGTACTTATTTCGGAGCCCAAAAGAAAATAAGACTTATTTTCGGGAAAACATGGTCATAAAATGAATACTGTGGTTATAAAGCAACCACTGTGGTTGTAAAGCAACCACTGCAATTGTAAAGCAAACATCGGGTTGTAAAGTGAACTCATTGTTCGTTAAAAGATGTGTTTGGCCAGAAATGAAATAAATGGTAGTTGCTGAAAAAAAACACAAATTGCAGTCATGAATGCAAAGTGCTGCAAACAGCCAGAAATGCAAGCTGGTTGTCAAGTCCTCTGCATGTGATTGTGTACAGGGATGTACATGGGAACTTCCCCATGGACAGGGAAGGTACATAGTGATATGATCTATGTGTACAGGGATGTACATGAGAACTTCCCCATGGACAGAGGGATGTACATGGGAACTTCCCCATGGACAGGGAAGGTACATGGTGATATGATCTATGCAAATACAATTTTTAAAACATTCCTATTTTAATATTTAAGTCTGTGCTCATTTTGATGATGGAAACAAAAATAAGTCTCCCAATATTTTGTGGAATTATTTAGTACTATACTATTGATGTTAAAAAAAATATTCTCATTCATATAAATCACTATACAGCAAAAACTCTTAGAAATCCCTAGATTAGTAGATATGCTTTTGAACAAAATGTTTTGGCCAAAAAAAAGATCATACAAACTATCATTTTTACAGTATTTACAGATACCCTTGAAATTTTCAATTGAGGAATGTCCAAGGTGTCTGAGGAAAATGGGATGCGGTACTGAGAGCTCTGAGACTTACTGTTATTCTGCTAAACTCTTAAGTCATGGAGGCTTTTATTTGTTTCTCTTTTCATTTGTTCTTTTTTTCTTATTATTTTAAATGACTATTAAGCAAAAGAAATGTTGCAGTGCCTTACAGTTTGAAGCAAATATCTTTCAAACAGACTGAAAGTAAGCTTATTTTGTGAAGTGTTTAAACTGATAGCTTTAATTAATTGTGGAATTTGGCTAGGAGTTTCTTTTTCATTCTTCTCAGAAAAGATATGTAAAATTGCTGAAGAAATCTGCATTCTTGCCATATTGGACTTGGTATCTCAAAAACAGTATGCAGAACAACAAACTTGCTGAGGTAGAATTAGAAAGTTAGACTGCTATACTATACGTTCGTAATATGCAAACACAATGTTAGTATTTATAAGCTTACTTGGATTCTAAAAGTTCTGGCATTCAGTTTGGTGTGGTGATCAAGGTGCTGGCCTAGAAACCAGGAAATGGTGAATTTAGTCCTACTCTAGGCATGCGGCTGGCTGGGTGACTTTTGGCCGGTCACTCTCTCTCAGCCCAATCTACTGTATAGGTCAGGGGTAGACAACCTTGGCTCTTTTATGACTCGTGGACTTCAACTCCGGCTCAGGAATTGTGGCAGTTGAAGTTCACAAGTCATAAAAGGCCAAGGTTGCCTACCCCTGGCATAGGTTGTTGTGGGGAAAATAAGAGGAGGAAGGAGTATTAGATATGATCACTGCTTTGAGTTACTTACAAAGTAATAAAGGCGGGATAAAAATCAAATAAGTAAATTCTCTGTGATACAAGTAGCATATAACTATCTCACATACTTGCAAAAGATAATCATCATAATAAATGCGATCTCTGCCATTTCATACAGAAAAGCATGATGATACCCACAGTCTGCTCTCATAAATTACGTAGAATATAATAGCTCATTTACTGTATTCTGGTAGTGTGGCTAATGTGCCTTGTAACCTGATCATGAGCATACCCTGGTGGTAAAATCTGGAATAATTTAAGAGGTCAATTAGAATCCTCCCAGTGACTTGATATTATTCCAAGGCAACTTTCTTTGTTAATGACAAAGGTAATAAATGAAGATTTATGACATGAAAAAGTAATTAGTGTTTGCTTTTGTCCAATATAAGAATAATAGTTTTATTTCCCCTGGAAAATTAAAAAAAGTATATTTTTATTCATATTTGATAATTACAAAAACGTTTTGTTTTTCAAAAATGCAAGTAGATATGTTTTCAAAGGAAAAAGGCATAAGTTAAACTTGCAGTGTGTGTGTCATGAAAAAGAATTGTGTTGTTCATTCCCTTCAGTCAGTTAATCTCAAACCAGATTAAGATATTTGCAAAAAAAAAAATCTTATATTATCCCAAAGATAGAAATTTAATTGGATCATCATATCTTCCAGGTGGAATGCAGTCATCACAGCCTCAGGAAGGGAAGAAAGCAAAAGCTAAGGCCCTGTATGATTTTCATGCAGAGAACATAGATGAACTTTCTTTCAAGGTAAGCATATTTAAACATACAATTATGTTACTACAATCCATAAAAAATGCTTAAATAAAACTTAACCACTTATTTTTTTCCTCTAAGAAATTGTCTTTCTCATATAGGGATTATCTAACTGTAAAGCTTCTAGCTGTCCTAACTTTTTCTAAAGAATATGAGGCCTACTGTGATTTTTTTTCACTTGAGGCATTTTGTTCATCTAGTATAAAACACTGTTTACTTATCAGTTATTTTGATCTGATATAAAACTAATTTAATTTATAAGTATCACTTGGGAGAAGAAAGAGTCTACAGTTTTTAAGAGTATTAAGTATATGTGAAGGATATCATGAAAAACAAATAATGTTGGTTTCAATTTCTGTTTCAACAGGCTGGTGATATCATAACAGGTCTTGAATCTGTAGATGAAGAATGGATGAGTGGAGAATTACAAGGCAAATTTGGAATATTTCCAAAGAATTTTGTCCAAATTCTACATCTTTCCTAAGGTGAAATCCAATTCTGGAGCATTGTTTTACAAGTGAATATGCTGGAAGAGAAGCACGTTATATTCTTGATGGCAGAAAAAGAGTGCTACCTGTGATCATTTTATCTATACTATCAAATGCATTTTTGCACTATTTTTGTAAAATGTTTACTAGACTGTACAATATTTTGTTTTTAGTTTATATTGAGCAGACCTTGAGCAGATTTTTTTAAAAACAAAAGGAATACAAAGCCTTATTATTTAAACTTGGTGCATTTCAATCATTTTATATTCTTTCTGTGGGGGCGCAATGGCTTATCAGTTAAAGATGCTGAGCTTGTCAGCTGGAAACCTGACAGCCCGGGTTTGAGACCCAACGTGCCATGAAATGGGGTGAGCTCTTGTTACCCAGCTCCTGCCCACCTAGCAGTTAGAAATCATGCAAAGACAAGTAGATAAATAGGGACCACTTCAGTGGGAAGGTAACAGCATTCTGTGTGCCTCAGCAATCAGTCATGCTGGCCACATGACCATGGAAATGTCTTCGGACAACACTGGCTCCCTTGGCTAAGAAATGGAGATGAGTTCCGCCCCCTACAGTCAGACACAATTGGACAGGGGAAACCTTTACCTTTACTTTTTATTCTTTATGTGAAGTCCAATTAACTATTACACTGCTCAAGCAAGTTTTTTTTTTTACAATACATATCCCACACTATAGTTTGTGAGTCAAGTTTTCAGAAACTGAAATGTTTTACCATATGAAAACATTAAATCCTGATACATAAACAAGATTATCACAGTAAAACGTTTGGGGTTTTTTCTTTACTTAAACCAAGTAAGTCAAGTTGTTTAAGAATGCATCAATTACTTTTAGTGTGGATTCAAGTATCCTGAAACAACTGGATGCTGTGGATTTACGTGCCTTAGACTAGGGAAGACCATTAGTCTGTTTGATCCAGTTTTCTATCCTAGCTACTAATGGCTCTCCAGGATCTTTCAAACAGTGCTGAATCCCAATATTTGCTGCCTGTCCTTTTTCAATGGGTAAGTGCAAGATATATACAAGAGAGCTGGGCAAAGGAATTGAAGAGGATGATTGTAATGTTCAGCAGGTGTAAAATGCCTGCTCTGATTAAAAGTACCCACAGTTTTTGCAAGCCTCATACTACACATGCACATGCTTTAACACTTTGCGCAATCATAATGTATAATAACTGTATATATTTTATGATAAGAAAGGCTGGTAACTTTTCTTATTATTCTCAGCAAATAAAATTAGACTTTTAGAAATTTCTTACTTTCTACAGACAATGGGTTGTGTTGTGTCATAAATCTTAATTTATATCTAGAGTAATTTTTCAAAGATTCATCTTTTTTCTTGGATCCTTTTTTTAATTTGATATCATTTTGGATCTTTTAAATTCTGTGATGCTCCCTATTGCCTTATTTTTATCAAATCTATTGTCAGAAATTAAGTATGTTCAGAAAACTATCAATGATGTGATGGAAGAATATGTTTCATGAGTCTTGCTGCCATGACTATCTTATAAGAATAGATATTATTATAAACTTGTACTACAGCCTGTATTGTCTTGTTATCTCCATCTCCAACTTTGTAAATGTAATTTAATATAAAAAGTGCATCTTGACATTAAACTTCTAAGTCCCATTTTTGCCCCATATTTCTTAAGATCGCATTCTTTAAAAATGCTGATATCGTGTCAGTTTTGCCATAAATTAATATTAAATGTTTATAAATCTGATAGTGGCAAAAGATAAACCTAAAACATAGTTCCTCCTATCTCTCATGAGTAAAAAGTGCTCCAAATCCATTCTTTCTTTTTCTAATACCGCTATTACATTTTGACTTTTCACTTTGTGGCCTTGATGAAAGAGTACTTAAGCACATAATCACAGCTTTGCCTATACTTGGTTGAAACTTTACTTTTGTGTGTAAGAGATGATTAACAAGAATAAATAATGAAAGTTCAATAGTAAAACTATCATGTGAACAAACCTAATCCCAAAGGATGAAAAAGGAGAATTCCTGTTTCTCTCTCCAAACTCTATCCTTTTGATAGTAATAGGGTGGGGGGAAGCATGCTGGAACAGCTTCCCTTTGCAGACCACTTACACTCTTCTTTTCCAGAACTAATAGTTAGCTGCTAAGCCATAAAATACATAGCTGCCTGTATTCAGAAGCCAGCTTCTCATTGTGATAAGCAGGCTTACTGCAATTCTTTCTGGTTTGCGAGGAGTGCTTTGATCACAATCCATCCATACTTTTAATTAGGGCAGACTTTAAACCAAAGTACACTTTGGTTTGAAGTTTAGCATATTGTGCAAATCAAATTTTCTGTATTTTAGAGGTCAAAAGCAATGAAAAAACTTGCATTTTGCTTTTGATTCAATGAATGTGTTGCTCATTCTTAAAACGGTAGTTTACTATTTTAATTTTTTGAAGTTTCCTTTATAATGCTTTTTGTACACAATGGCGTACTTTGGCACTTATAAAGGCTATTGATGTCATTGGACAGTCACTAATATTAATCAACATTTCTATTTAAAAACTGGAGGAAAATACATACCTGTTCAGGTAATTGACTTTGAATGTTATCTTGTTCCCTAGTTGTGGTCATTCTTTAAGAATAAAATAGTTACATGATATAAAAATAGTTAAATAATCAAAATTCAGCTTTCCATTAGGGAGATGTATGAGCTGAAGTACATGAAAATAGTATTATTATCAAGTACAGTAATGTGCAATTGGTTAGTGAAGGCAGAACCAACCCACTATTCACAACGGCAACCTTTATTGCCATCTCATATTTTGCTGTTTTTTTTAAGGAATGATGGATAATTTTTTGTTGTATGTCAGATGCAGTATTTAGGCTTTTGAGGGTCATTGTAAGTGCTGTCTGAAAACCAATGTCTACCAGATTGAATGCAATGCTTGTTAAAAATCACTTTCATAATTTTTTTACTCCTATATTTTGTATTTTGCCATATTCATCTCAACATGTAATTTTCAAGTGATTGAGAAATAATTGTTTTATGTTACTAATGAAAATGCACTAATATCTTTTTTCTACATTAGTAAATATGCCTTTTATATTTATCGTTGTTTAAAGTAAGCAAGCGTTCACCTGAGCAAGCTTTGTTATCTTACCAATCTATGTATACAGATTGCCAAATACAGCTATTTCACTTGAAGAGTGTCATCTAAAGGGTTCTTAATAGTGTTAATAATGTAGATAAATACTAATGACATTCCCATTTAAGAAACTGGCATCAGTTTCTAGAATGTGGCCATAAAGTATTATAGATCACATGCTATAAGATTCTCAAATGAATAGAAGTACAGCAGTTAGCTGAAGATACAAACACTATATTATGTATATAAAATGTGAACCAGGTTATTATAGTAGCTATTTAATCTCCAGATCAGTTTAATAAATTTTCTTCAAGATTACACAGATCTGTACAAAAATACTTTTGCTTCGGGAAATATTAATTAAAATGTTCCTCAGCTTTATGGCATTTGTATATAACCAATAAATGTGTTTGTTGCAAACAATGAACTGTGCAAACTGGAATGAAATTTATCATAAATGAATGCAGTTTTAAAAACTTCACAATTAAAGGAAGTTTTCTTCCGTTTGATTTAATGCATTTAAATTTTACACATTCTCTAAGGCTCGAACTGATTGGGAATCAAAGCCCAGAACCAGTAGCTGACAGATTAGTGGCACCAAGGTAGCACAATATTGCTAGTGTACTGGTTAAGACCCATATTCAAAATCCTTTCTCTACCTGACTACATGTTGGTCAACTTTGGATTCATTGCCTTCTAAATCCAACATAGCAGACAGAGTTGTTGGGAGGGATAATACTTAATTGGGAGTATTATGTATGAGGTCTTGAACTTTCAAAAAAAAAGGAAAGACATAAATGCAGCAAATAGGGCTGTGGTTTTAAAAGCTATCAATGTGAAATGGAAATTCTCCATTTCTCATCTGTATAAATAAGGCTAAAGGCATTATTTGAATATAATGTAAAATAAACCCACTGAAATTGGTTTACCATTTCTACTAGATTTTTTAAAAATCTGCCTTGAAATCGTTTTAAAACTTTAGATCCTCACAATAGAAGCTGCAATAATAATAAAAAATCTCAATATCCCTTTCCAGAATATTTTATCTCCCCTCTCCATATTACCAGTTTAGTACTTCTTTTTGTATAAGAGTGGACACCTCCTTCGGTCCTGCTGAACATTTTATACAAACTCATCTCTTGGCTTAGAAAGCTCGAGATACTTACAACAGCCTATTCTAGTCATGTTTTAAACATCTTTTATTCAATGAGATTTTTCCATAGAAGCAACATAGACTTGATTAGGTTAAGCTCAACAATGAAGGAATTTAGCTGAAAATATTTAAGTGTACTGGAATGAAGTTTAAATGTTTCTTGCACTCTTTCAAACATGTAAAATCATATGGCATGCTACATGAAGGCCATGAGTTCCTGCGCTGGGATAAGGAATGAGATGACTGGAAGGTTCTTGATACATCCAGAATTATTATCCATGGATTTTCAGGGATTCAGTCTTCCACTTAGTTCACATTATTCAAGAGTCATGCATGTCTTTACTGAACATTTTTTGCGTGTGCTGTCAGTTTTGACTCCTAGCTGCTGCCTGGACACGTTCCTGTAACTTTCTTGGCAAGATTTCCAGAAGCATTTTGCCACTGCCACCTTCCTAGAGTTGAGAGTGTATAACTGGCCCTCACTGGGCTGGACTCATGTCTAAGGCAAGACTAGAATTGGGAGTTCCAGTAGAGTTAATATTCATTTAAATTGGCGAGGGAGGGCCTTGCATTAAAGTTTGCCAACTTAAAAAGTGTAACCTAGCGATTAGTCTGTATTAAGTTACACTTCTCATAAAGGATCAATTTTGCAATGTGAGGAAACTTTTTCCAGTAGTTACAGCTCAATACATTAGCTATACCTTTTGTGCAGTCACTCATGCCCTGGTCACTTCTAGTTCAATTACTCAACTACATGGGGCTACCCTTGAGTATCTGGAAGCTACAACTGGTACAAAAAGCAACATGAGTTGTGCTGATTTCTGGTTTGCTTCCAGGTCCAATTTAAGCTGTTGGGTCATCTTTGAAGCCCTTTATGGTATGGGACAAGGTTATTTGAGGAACCACCTTGCACAATAGGACTAACCTGCCCTACTCGTTCCAGTGGAAAGGGCCTACTTCTAGAAAATTCTAAAGAACTGCAGCTGGCAGGGTCCAGAACAGTCTTTTCCACTGTATTCCCTATTCTCTAGAATATTCCATCAGAGGCGAGATCTACACTCATACTCCTGGACTTCTGGAAGAGTCTAAAAACTTGGCTATTGCTTGGCCTGGAGATCTGACAAGAGACCCGATATTGGAGGTGACTGACAGGGCAGAAAAGAGTCTTGCCCCCCAGACTGCCCATCATCTTGGTTCTTAACTTTTAATCTTTTTATTCTAATTGTTTTTTAAGACTTTTTAACTTATTTTATTTATTGTAGAGTTGCTACATTAGTGGAATGGATAGCATAGAAATAAAATACTTTCACAAGACTAGGAGCCATATCAATTACAAATGCACTAATAACCAACAGTGATAATAAATTATATGCAGAATATCTTTAAAAATACTTAGCTTTGGTACACCATTACCTGGAACTTTAAAAAAAAATGAAGCATGAAAAAAATCCGAAGTAGAATGTATGCTTTTTACAAAGTTACTGAACATTCAGATAGCATCATTACCCAAATTGCAACACTTGATCAGTGGATCAATGGGTAGTTGAAGTTGTTTAGCAAATTGTAGGATGCATGTAAAATATGAGTAATTGTTCGATAAAAATGCACATTACCACTCTATTTATATTAAGTCTTTTATTCTGTATTTGATTTCAGACAGATTCTTGCACAGGGGGTTCATATCCATCAGCTCGTTCTACTTTGGCACCAGTTTCATCACCAGATGGTTTTCCAGCACCACCACCTTCACCATGCAGCTCCATCAACTTGCCCACTACAAATAATCAAGAATGTAAATTAATATATATAATTCCATACTAAGAGGAAGGGTGCTATATTTTCTATTAAAATATTCACTGTTCATTATACATCTTACACAAACTAGTAAATATCCTTGTGTTTTAAGGGAATGTCAGCATTGGGATAAAGTAATCATTTCTTCATCTGGGACCGAAACAAAGTGTCATCATTCATTCCCATTTCAAGTAAATTACAATCAATGTTAATGCAGTATTTTCAATGACACATACTTACATTCAAACTTGGGCTTCTTGAGCATTTTGACTTTACGAACATAGACATCGTGAAGGGGATAGATTGATTGACATGCTTTTTCTATGTCTTTACCAACGCTGTCTGGAATCCTAGAATCGTAAGAAAAAAAATTTCATTTTGAAGTCTCCAAACTAGTAATTAGACAAAAACCAGCAGAATTACTAGTGACTGTGGAATACATTAAAACAAATATGTGAGGTAGAGAAAAATAATCTTATATCATAAACTGGAACCTAACCCTCTGCATTCACAAAGAAACTTCCATTTATTCATCTGAAATAAATGTGAATATTAAAATGTCAATGACTTGTCTTATACAATATGCTTATCTACAATTTGAATAAATTATATTCACATAACACATTAATATAAAGCAAACAAACTAGATTATAGATTAACTCAGCATAAAGCAAGGCAATGAGAATGGTATCATTCCATGTGTGGCTCAATAAAATATCAAGAAAATATGTGCACATCTACTTACACCATACTATAATTTATTTGGCCATGGCTTAGAATGTTGACATCGAAACCAGTCAATTTACTTATTTCATTAAACCATTGCCTTATAAATCCACCCAAATCTAATCTTACGAATAATCTCTAGAAATATAAATTATAATTTTCAGTTCTTTAAAAGGGACACTTAGTTATTTGAATTGTTACAGAATCTAAAACTTTACTAACAATATAATTAAATAGCAAATCAAAAAGATAAGTTATTATAAATTCTAAAGTAGCATGCCATTTGAGACTGTCTTACTAAACATAGATTTAAAAATTCCACCTACAGCTTATTGACAACTTCTTTCAAGTCATTTGTTTGTACTTCACGTGTCATGATTTCCACCATTTTTTTGCGGATTTGGCGGACCTGTTGATGCTGAGCATAGGAAGTCTTGCGAATCTGGTTGGTTCTTTTCTTGGTGAAACCAACACAGAAAAGGCGTAGAAGATATCCATCTGTAGTTTTAACATCGATGTGGGCTTCAATCATAGTCTGGAACATTTGAGTTAGATATGTTAACACATCAAATTACTATGTTTGGATGAGATTGCCTACTTTTAAAGCATTTATACAAGATAACCATGTTCACAGGAATTATTGCAAAGTACACTTAGGAAGCATTTACATATTTATATACCAGAATACAGATAAGAACTAGCAAGATTTTTGGAAACTTTTTAAAATTCTGGATCTGGTGATATATGAAAATAGCTGATGAACAATCATTTTACTTGCCTCCATCAACAAAAAAAAAATTACAGTATTCATTGTCCAGCTTAAGTACATACCAATACTTATACTAACCTGCCATTTCTTAACCATTGAACACATTTTATCTCGTGTGAGATCCATGCCATGAAAGTTTGTCAGGCAGTTTTTCCCCTGGACATCCTCTGTAATCAGCTTGAATTTACGGAAGGCAACTTCATCATTCTGTAGGTCAGCAAGGCTTACTTCAAATACACGGCCTTTCAGCCCATCAGAGGCAATTTCTATAAATATTAAACAGTTAACTTGTTCATAAAAAACACCACTGAGTTATATATGACTTTCTAAGATGTATTTTAAATGGTCCTCTGCATTCAAAATAATTAAATCTATATATAATTGTAAGCCATCCAAATCGCTTTATAAAGTGAAAAGGGAAGCATATAAATTTAATATAGTAATATACAGTAAAATACGTAAACCTAACATCAAAACAGTAATAAAGATGTTATTTGGTTAGTGTTTAAGAGTTTCAGAAATATAGCATAACTTAAAAGCCAGCATTTCTTGTTTTGGTAACTTACTCGTTCCCTGAGTCCTGGTAACTAATGTCTTTCCAATGTTTCGAATATTGAACATTGCTGGAGCCTTGACATCATACCAGTCCTTCTTTGAGAAGGGGTCCACCCTGAATTTCAAAATAAGAAAATGATCAGAAGGACCTTTTTCATATTTAGGCTTGCATTTTCTAGCTCAGGGGTCCCCAACTCTGGCAACTTTAAGACTTGTGGACTTCAACTGCCAGAATTCCCATGGCTGGCTGGGGAATTCTGGGAGTTGAAATCCACAGATCTTAAAGTTGCCAAGGTCGGGGACCCCTATTCTAGCTGATCCAAGAGCAGCTTGGAATGCCACTTTTTTACCAATTATTTTTAGGAAGGTTTGAATCAAACATCAAGTCTTAAGTGTAACAAAGTCTGGTAGCTTTACTAAAGTAGC